TTTTCATTATTTCTATACAGTTCCAGGATTTCATTCCAGTCCACAGGAGCTGCAGCTTGTAGTCTGAAGAGCCACGTGTACAGCGAGACGTATTCTACTGCCTGAGGCCTACTAAAGAGGACCTGTCCTGTGGCAGAGAGAGGCCAAAGGACTCATCGCCAGCATTGCCTGCAGTCCCCTCACAGCTGGTTTCTGTTCCCCAGAAGCAGTGCCCCGAAAAATATACAATTTGTCTTTAATTCCTCCTGACATATAGCACTTGGCACTCCGGGTATCCGTGCACTTCCTGTGCCTAGGCACTCCCGACATCCGTGCACTTCCTGTGCCGAGGCACTCCTAATATCCGTGCACTTCCTGCCTAAGCACTCCTGATATCCATGTACCTCCTGCACCTAGGAACTCCCTATATCCATGAACTTTCTGCGTCTAGGCACTCCCTATATCCGTGCACTTCCTGCGTCTAGGCACTCCCTATATCCGTACACTTCCTGCGTCTAGGCACTCCAGATATCTCTGCACTCCCTACGCCTATACACTCGCTATATCTGTGCACTTCCTGTGCCTAGGCACTCCTTTTCTGTACCTTTGCAGTGTGAGATCATCTAAGGCACTGCTGTCTCTGCTAGCCTCCATAAATTTGGTGATGTCACTACTGTGCTGATCACGGTTCTCCCTGCTGGAGAGGAAGCTGTACCTGAGGACCTGCACTGCAAGGATCTCCCTGCTTCTGCCTTGTCCATTCTGTGGATCTGTGCTTCCTGCACCTCTATCATCACCCTCCAGTTATCGGGGGGGCAGCTCTGACATAAGAAAGCAAAGCCCTGCTCCTCAACCAAGATGGCTGCCTCCACACAGGGATACAATGCAGGAGATATCAGGAGTGCCTAGGCACAGGAAATGAACTGCTGTATTTCGGGAGGAACTGAAGACACTTTTCAGGCCACTGCTTCAGCACAATTAACATTTGTAGCCGTTCCCAATAAAAAGCAAATCTTCACTTTTTGGCGTAGCTGTCAAGTCTGAAGCTTTTTGCATGAAGGTAAAAAACAAAACCTGTGTTGCTCCTCCCCTAGCCCCCCCCCCCTATTCCCTATTATTTACCCCAGCCCCCTCTCGATCCAGCGCTGTGCATGAGAGCCTCGGCTCTCCCAGGTCTCTCTCTCCTCATTGGCTAAGACACAGCAGCAGGAACCATTGGTAATCACAGTCAGTAAGCCAATGAGGTGAGAGAGCAGGGGGAGGGGCCTTATGGACAAATAGAGCAAGGCTCAGAAGTGAGCACACACCGGAGCCCCCATAGCAAGTGACTTGCTATGGGGGCACTGGTCAGGGGGGAGGAGCCAGGAGTGCCCACAGACAGAAATGTGCATCAGGAGCTGCAGACTGACAGTACGACAACTCCAAAACTGTCAGCGGTGCGGTCCTGGGGGCCCCAGAGAGGGTCGATCCGCTTCTCCTGGGAAGGAAAATTGATCCCGACATTTACACAGGGGCCCGATAAACAGTTTCCGAAAGAAGAACGTCTGTGTTGTTCAACCACCAATAGGCTGGTTAGTGTCTGGGGGGATGTAATAAGAGGTCCCCCGCAGGATCCCGCATGGCAGAGATCAGACAGAGCGGGAAGGAAATGATGGAACCCCGGTTATCTGTCTGTCCTCCAATCAGAGGGCCAATCACAGCTGGAATATGGAGGTAGGACATGTAGATGGAGAAGCCTGCGATGCTGCGAGGAAACTACACATCACATCAACCGCTCCGCTTCATCATCCAGGGGGGGAGAACAATGCAACATGGAGACGATTCTCTCCCAGTCTGTACTGCAAAATCAGTGCCACTCACTTCATCAACTGCCACTCGCTGCTGCATCAACTGCCACCCACTGCATCAGCTGTCACTGCATTAACTGCCACCTACTGCTGCATCAACTGCCACTTGCTGCATCAGCTGTCACTTACTTCATCAACTGCCACTCGCTGACTGCTGCATCAACTGCCACCCACTGCTGCATCAACTGCCACCCACTGCTGCATCAACTGCCACCCACTGCATCAGGGGGGGGGGGGGGGGGGGTGGGGGGGGGGGATGGGGGGGGGGTGGGGGGGGGGGGGGGGATAGAGGGGAAAGGGTGGGGGTGGGGGGGGATAGGGGGAAAGGGGGGGGGGGGGGGGGGAGGGGGTGGTGGGTGGGTGTGTGGGGGGGGGGGGGGAGGGGGGTGGGGGGGGGGGGGGGATAGAGGGGAAAGGTGTGTGTGGGGGGGGGGGGGGGGGGGGGGGGGGGGGGGGGGTGGGGGTGGGGGGGGGGGGGGGGGGATAGGGGGGGGGGGGGGGGTGGGGGGGGGGGGGGTGGGGGGGAAGGGGGGGGGGGGGGGGGGGGGTAGGGGGGGGGGGGGGGGGTAGAGGGGAAAGGTGGGGGGGGGATAGGGGGGGGGGGGGTGGGGGGGGGGGGGGGGGGATAGGGGGGGGGTGGGGGGGGGGGATAGGGGGGGGGGTGGGGGGGGGGGATAGAGGGGAAAGGAGTGGGGGGGGGGGGGGGGGGGTAGAGGGGAAAGGTGGGGGGGGGGATAGAGGGGGGGGTGGGGGGGGGGGTAGAGGGGAAAGGTGGGGGGAGGGGGGATAGAGGGGAAAGGTGGGGGGGGGGGGGGGGGTAGAGGGGAAAGGATTTGGTGGGGGGGGGGGGGGGGGTAGAGGGGAAGGGGGGGGGAGGAGGGGATAGAGGGGAAAGGTGGGGAGGAGGGGATAGGGGGGGAAAGGTGGGGGAGGGGGGGATAGGGGGGGATAGAGGGGAAAGGGGGGGGAGATAGAGGGAAAAGGTGGGGTGGTGGTAGGTGGTGGTGGTGGTGGGGGGGGGGCTCCTTTTGTTATTACATCTTATACTGCCGGGCTTTTCTAATGTACTTCACCTTCCTCCAGTCTGTAGAAATTAGCTAGCAACTGAATCATGCCAGGCAGACCCCCGCGTCTGACACGCCCAGGCGGACCCCCCCACGTCCGACACACACCCAGGCGGACCCCCCACGTCCGACACACCCAGGCGGACCTCCGCATGTCCGACACGCCCAGGCAGACCTCCGCGTCCGACACGCCCAGGCAGACCCCGCGTCCGACACGCCCAGGAAGACCCCCGCGTCCGACACAGGCCTTTAGATAAGCCCGTGGTTAGTTGGGGGGGGGGGGGGGTGAGGGGTGAATGGGTGGAGGGTGGGGGGGCTGGGTGTAGGGGGGACTTTCAGTGTCAGGACAAGCATAGATGTAGGGATCATCTATGGTTCTCCCACCATCTGCATCACTTACATAGTAAACATACGGCCTATAAATATGGCGCCCAGTGACGGGACACGGCGGTCACACAATAAATAACTGACAATTCTTCGCACCGACATTCCCTCCGCGGTCTCTGTACTCACAAACAAACTACATCAGAAAAAATGTCACATTAATAGAAACGAGGTTGGAGAAAAATGAATAAAGTAATCTGCACTATTTCAGGGACTGCCCCCTTCACAACAGGAAATGGGGCCCTTCATTCAACAGGAAATGGGGCCCTTCGTACAACAGGAAATGGGGCCCTTCGTACAACAGGGGCCCTTTGCACAAAAGGAAATGGAAACACTTCTTAGAAATAATGGGGCCCTTTGCACAACAGGAAATGGGGCCCTTTGTTCAACAGGAAATGGGGACCTTTGTTCAACAGGAAATGGGGCCCTTTGTTCAACAGGAAATGGGGCCCTTCGTAGAAGAAATGGGGCCCTTTGTACAAAAAGAAATAGGGCACTTAGAAATAATGGGGCCCTTTGTACAAAAGGAAATGGGACCCTTTGTACAACAGGAAATGGGGCCCTTCATAGAAGAAATGGGGCCCTTTGTACAACAGGAAATGTCGCTCCCTGTACAGTGCAGGTCGAATTTAAAAAGTGCTAAAAAAAAACCCAACAATAATACCGATCACACAATGAAGACAACCGCTTTGTATATTTCCAGGTGGGTAGGGGGCGGGTCACAGTGGCGGCACGTCACCGTCACTGTAGGGAGGAGTGTAGCGTCACACTGTGCAATGAGGACGTCATGGGAAAGGGTGGGGGATGAGGTACTACAACTTCCATTGATTATACCCAAGCGCGGCTGTCCTCTCCGATCAATAAATCCACATGAGCAGCTCATAGAATAGTGATCGCGGCTGTCCTCTCCCGATCAATAAATCCACACGAGCAGCTCATAGAATAGTGATCGCGGCTGTCCTCTCCCGATCAATAATCCACATGGGCAGCTCATAGAATAGTGATCGCGGCTGTCCTCTCCCGATCAATACATCCACACGAGCAGCTCATAGAATAGTGATCGCGGCTGTCCTCTCCCGATCAATAAATCCACACGAGCAGCTCATAGAATAGTGATCGCGGCTGTCCTCTCCCGATCAATAAATCCACACGGGCAGCTCATAGAATAGTGATCGCGGCTGTCCCTCTCCCGATCAATACATCCACACGAGCAGCTCATAGAATAGTGATCGCGGCTGTCCTCTCCCGATCAATAAATCCACACGAGCAGCTCATAGAATAGTGATCGCGGCTGTCCTCTCCCGATCAATACATCCACACGAGCAGCTCATAGAATAGTGATCGCGACTGTCCTCTCCCGATCAATAAATTCACACGAGCAGCTCATAGAATAGTGATCGCGGCTGTCCTCTCCCGATCAATAAATTCACACGAGCAGCTCATAGAATAGTGATCGCGGCTGTCCTCTCCCGATCAATAAATCCACACGAGCAGCTCATAGAATAGTGATCGCGGCCCGGATTCAGCACTTCCAGGCCCGCTCACTAAACTCCAGAAATTCAAGTAATACAATCGAGTATCTCCAGTGTTGACACGGATCTGACGGGGGGGGGGGGGGGGGCGTGTTCCAGAATCAGAAAAGCAATGCCCAATAAAGTGCAGCTGGTGTCACCAGGACACAGGGAGACACTCTGATCCAGAGCAAGGTACAGCAGCTTTATCCCCATCAGTGGTGGACGCAGAGGAAGAACCCGGCCAGCAGGGGGAGTAAGTTCAGCATCAGAAGCCACAAGGTGACCACCAGGTTGGAGGAGCGGGAGCAGAGATCTGGAAGGAGGAGAAGAGGAGGAGAGGTCAGGCCTTTCCAGGACAGAGAGAGGCTACACCATATGACAGGGACGCGGCTTCTATCTCACTCTGTTCTGGAACCCAAAAAGTCCCAACAGGGAACAAGACGGCTCAGGTGACCCCCCAACTGCTTGTCTTCTAGTGTTGTACCCGCCAATGCAGTACCATCCTTTGCCAGCCGGAGGGCGCTGTTTCAAACATTTTCTGGATCTGATCTCATTAGCTGAAGTTGCTGTACAAATCTTCAGTCTCAGTGGGGTATTGGGCCTCATTCATACAGGCGTACTATAGTAGGCCATGTTTTGCCCACATAGGGGTGCAATGGTGTGGGATGCAGCGGCTGCACAGACGCAGCTGATGGTCCAAATCTGACAGGCATGTGGGTATGGGGTGCGTAGCCTGAATGCAGACAGCGTGCTCTTGGGGCTGTGCGTCGACAAACTGACAGCGACAGGCGCTGCATTTATTTATTTCAGGTACTTATATAGCACCGTACGTTTGCGTAGCACTCTACATATATATGGTACAATATTTGCGTGCGTATTAAAAAATACATATGTGCTGAGAGCGTGCGCCCTGCGTGCTCCCAACACGTATGTCTGTGACTCATGGAAAGGTCCCGATCTCCCCTTTCGATCGGGACCTTTTCCAATCATGTGACCGCCGTGATGGCACACGCAAATATGCGGCCGCTCGGCCTCAGGGCCTTGGGCGTGCAATTATAAAATACATATGTGCTGAGAGCATGTGCACCCGGCACATATGTCCATGACGCTTGGCGTCAAGGCCCAGACGCCGAGAGGGCGCATATTTGCGTGCGATCGGTGTCAAGGGGTTAAATTGGCCCTAGTATGTGTATGTGGGGATTTTACGCCCCTCGAGGGTCAGTGCCTTGGGTGTGCAATTAAAAAATACATATGTATACAGCGTGCCCTGCGTGCTCCCAGCACGTATGTCCATGACTCATGGAAAGGTCCCGATCTCCACTTCCGTTCATGTGATGGCGAATCACGGCAGTCACATGACCCTAAAACCCCGCCCTGCCTCCTGAAACTCTTAAAGGGCCAGGAGGCGCCGGCGCAAGGAGGTTATACAAGAGCCAATTAACCTCCCAGCATGTCTTTGGAGTGTGGGAGGAAACCAGAATAACCGGAGGAAACCCACGCAGGCACAGGCAGAACATGCAAACTCCAGGCAGGTGGTGCTGTGGTAGGGATTCGAACCAGCGACCCGAGTACTGCCAGATGGACGTGCTAACCATTTAGCTGCTGTGCTGCCCCCATATCAACTGATATGAACAGGTCTGTCTGCACAGAGATGGGACGTATCCCTCGGGGGCCACACTAGGCCCCTGCACACGTGTGTGCTATAATACACCCGAGTGAACGAGGCCCTACAACTACAGATTTACTAAAAATGGTGCACTTAGAATCCCGTGTAGCTGTGCATAGTAACCAATCAGCTTCCAGTGTAGCTGTGCATAGTAACCAATCAGCTTCCAGTGTAGCTGTGCATAGTAACCAATCAGCTTCCAGTGTAGCTGTGCATAGTAACCAATCAGCTTCCAGTGTAGCTGTGCATAGTAACCAATCAGCTTCCAGTGTAGCTGGGCATAGTAACCAATCAGCTTCCAGTGTAGCTGTGCATAGTAACCAATCAGCTTCCAGTGTAGCTGTGCATAGTAACCAATCAGCTTCCAGTGTAGCTGTGCATAGTAACCAATCAGCTTCCAGTGTAGCTGGTGCATAGTAACCAATCAGCTTCCAGTGTAGCTGGGCATAGTAACCAATCAGCTTCCAGTGTAGCTGTGCATAGTAACCAATCAGCTTCCAGTGTAGCTGTGCATAGTAACCAATCAGCTTCCAGTGTAGCTGTGCATAGTAACCAATCAGCTTCCAGTGTAGCTGGGCATAGTAACCAATCAGCTTCCAGTGTAGCTGGCACAGTAACCAATCAGATTCTAGGTTTTATTGGTCAAGCTGAAGTTAGAAGCTGATTGGCTGCCATGCACAGCGGACCCAGATTCTGTGTGCTCCGGTTTTAGTAAATCTCCCCAATTGTGCGTTTCCTGTGTCCATGATGGAAGTTGATTTACTAAAACTGAAGAGTGAAAAATCTGTCCCCATCTGCAACCAATCAGCTTTCAGGTTTAATAGTCAGAGCTAAAGCAGACTTCTACCTGAAAAAGAAAAAAAAAAAAAAAAAAAAAAAAAAAAAAAAAAAAAAGCAGCTACAAAAACTGCACAAACCTGCAAAAAAAAAAAAAAAAAAAAAAACTGTAGCTGCTGACTTTTAAAACACAGCCACTTACCTGTCCGGGGTCCAGCGGTGTCCTCACCACCGATCACTTACCTGTCCCGGGGTCCAGCGGTGTCCTCACCACCGATCACTTACCTGTCCCGGGGTCCAGCGGTGTCCTCACCACCGATCACTTACCTGTCCCTGGGGTCCAGCGGTGTCCTCACCACCGATCACTTACCTGTCCCGGGGTCCAGCGGTGTCCTCACCACCGATCATTTACCTGTCCCGGGGTCCAGCGGTGTCCTCACCACCGATCACTTACCTGTCCCGGGGTCCAGCGGTGTCCTCACCACCGATCACTTACCTGTCCCGGGGTCCAGCGGTGTCCTCACCACCGATCACTTACCTGTCCCGGGGTCCAGCTGTGTCCTCATCACCGATCACTTACCTGTCCCGGGGTCCAGCAGTGTCCTCACCACCGATCACTTACCTGTCCCGGGGTCCAGCGATGTCCTCACCACCGATCACTTACCTGTCCCGGGGTCCAGCGGTGTCCTCACCACCGATCACTTACCTGTCCCGGGGTCCAGCGGTGTCCTCACCACCGATCACTTACCTGTCCCGGGGTCCAGCGGTGTCCTCACCACCGATCACTTACCTGTCCCGGGGTCCAGCGATGTCCTCACCACCGATCACTTACCTGTCCCGGGGTCCAGCGGTGTCCTCACCACCGATCACTTACCTGTCCCGGGGTCCAGCGGTGTCCTCACCACCGATCACTTACCTGTCCCGGGGTCCAGCGGTGTCCTCACCACCGATCACTTACCTGTCCCGGGGTCCAGCGGTGTCCTCACCACCGCTGGTTTCACTGTCCATCTTCTCGCACCGGCACCTTCAGTGTGGGCCCCCAGCTGACAGCTTGCGGCTTCACAGCTGGGTGCGCACTGTGCATGCGTCAGAAGCGCTGCTCTTTGTGAATGGCCCCGTAGTCTTCTGGGACCTGTCATTCGGGTTCCCCCATCCCCCCCCCCCCCCTCCCGTTCTCCATGAAGGATTGGCACCTTTTGGGGAGCGGGGGGGGGACCCGAATTTGAGACGTACCCACTCTCACTTCCGCTGTGATCGGAAGCGGAAGTTGTCCTCCCCAGCCCCCCCTCCCCCCTCCTGTAGTCTTCTGGGACACATGACAGGTCCCAGAAGACTACGGGGCCATTCACAAAGAGCAGCGCTTCTGACGCATGCACAGTGCGCACCCGGCTGTGAAGCCGCAAGCTGTCAGCTGGGGGCCCACACTGAAGGTGCCGGTGCGAGAAGATGGACAGTGAAACCAGCGGTGGTGAAACAGCGGTGGTGAGGACACCGCTGGACCCCGGGACAGGTAAGTGATCGGTGGTGAGGACACCGCTGGACCCCGGGACAGGTAAGTGATCGGTGAGTGAGGACACGCTGGACCCCGGGACAGGTAAGTGATCGGTGGTGATGAGGACACAGCTGGACACCCCGGGACAGGTAAGTGATTGGTGGTGAGGACACCGCTGGACCCCGGGACAGGTAAGTGATCGGTGGTGAGGACACCGCTGGACCCCGGGACAGGTAAGTGATCGGTGGTGAGGACACCGCTGGACCCCGGGACAGGTAAAGTGATCGGTCGGGTGAGGACCCGGGACGCTGGACCCCGGGACAGGTAAGTGATCGGTGGTGAGGACACCGCTGGACCCCGGGACAGGTAAGTGATCGGTGGTGAGGACACCGCTGGACCCCGGGACAGGTAAGTGATCGGTGGTGAGGACACCGCTGGACCCCGGGACAGGTAACACAGTGAGCGGTGGTGAGGACACTGCTGGACCCCGGGACAGGTAAAGTGATTGGTGGTGAGGACACCGCCGGACCAAGGGACAGGTAAGTGATCGGTGGTGAGGACACTGCTGGACCCCGGGACAGGTGGGGGGGGGGGGGGGGGGGGCTTAAAGCAGAACTTCCCCTTTTGGGTGGAGCTCCACTTTAATTGAACAAGCTGAAGTTAGATGCTGATTGGCCGCCATGCATGGCTGAACCAGATTTTGCACTCTCCATTTTTAGTAAATTGACCCCAAAGTGTCCTTCCCCCCCCCCCAGCACAGTGGTGATAGTTCGGGGGGGGGACTAAAGGCAATTAGACTGAGCACTGTGCAGAGGCATTTGCTCCGCAGCATAGTAAATAGCAGCTCTGCTGACTTCCATCATCCAATCACGTGCAAGCAAAAATGCTGTTTTTTTTTTTTCTTCATTTTCCTCGCATCTGATTGGGTATTCTTTGTAAAATGAAGCTTCTTCTCATTTGCTAAGCTCTGGAGTCCCTGCCCCTGCAGAGCGCTCAGTCTGGTTGCCTTTAGTAAGTCCCCCGTTGTGTCTTCCCCATGTATTCTATGATTTGCCGTCTATATACAACCCCAAGGAGAAGGTACCTAGAGGGGCCAGTCTGCTCCTGTTGTCTGGCGGTGGCTCTCTCTCGGGTGGGCACGTGTCACAGAAGTCCAGGCAGGGTGGGCATACCAGATGCCCCTCATAAAACCAGCCGTTGATGTTGGTGTTGACGGTGAGTATCTGGCCGGCCCGGGTACACAGGTACGGGGAGTCTTCCACCCAGACCTGGAGGCCTTCTGGGGAGCAGCTCACCTGAGGGGACAGACAGGAGGGGGGGGTCAGGATCACAATCATGTGACATCACACAGGAGGGGGGGGGTCAGGATTACAATCATGTGACATCACACAGGACGGGGGGGGGGTCAGGATCACAAATCATGTGACATCACACAGGAGGGGGGGGGGGGGGGTCAGGATCACAATCATGTGACATCACATAGGAGGGGGGGGGGGGGGGGGGGTCAGGATCACAATCATGTGACATCACACAGGACGGGGGGGGGGGGTCAGGATCACAATCATATGACATCACACAGGAGGGGGGGGGGGGGGTCAGGATCACAATCATGTGACATCACACAGGGAGCCTCTGTCTGGAGGATCGACCACTGATATAGGGAGGACCTCCAAATGGTCACCAAGATGGGCCACTGAAAGCCCTTCCCCCCCCGCATAACACGTAAAATACTACAAGAATGTTACCTGATAACAGCCGCTGCCCCAATCCGGGTAACTCATACGCTTCATACATTGCTCCATGACAAACGCCGATCGCTGCTCAAGGCAGGCCGAGTCCGGCCCATAACGCTCCGCCCCGTAATTCCTGGAGGCCGCTGGAGAGGAAACAGAACATTTACCCAACAAGTCTGTGTGTCATATAGATGGAGAAAGTGTACAACCAACCACAGGGACCAAAGACCCGCCTCGTCCCCCTCCAAACCCACCCGGCCCCCTCCATACCCACCCCGGCCCCCTCCCATCCATCACAGTGCCCCCTCCATACCCGCCTCATCGGCCCCCTCCAAACCCATCCCCCTCATCCCTCTCCATACCCACCCGGCCCCTCCATACCCACTCCCGGCCCCCTCCCATACCCATCATCATCAGTGCCCCCTCCATGGATGGACCTGGGAGGGGGTCCCCCTCCATATGGAGGGGGACCCCCTCTCATACCCATGGAGGGGGATGTGGCGGGTATGGACCCACCTCAGGCCCCTCCATGGACCCATGAGGTGGGTATGGAGGGGGATGTGGCGGGTATGGAGGGGGCTGATGCCCCTCCATGGAGGGGGATGAGGCGGGTATGGAGGCCCCACTGTGATGGATGGGAGGGGGCCGGGGTGGGCCTCATGGAGGGGGGATGAGGCGGGTCATGGAGGGGGGATGAGGTGGGTATAGAGGGGCACTGTGATGGATGGGCCCCCTCCAGGCCCCCTGGGTATCCAGGGGGGCCCCTCCATACCCGCCTATCCCCCTCCATAGGCGGGTATGGAGGCCCCCTCCATACCCAGGGGGATGAGCCCCCTATGGATCCATCACAGTGCCCCCTCCATGGACCCGCCTCATCCCCCTCCATGACCGGGTCATTGGAGGGGGATGAGGCGGGTATGGACCCCGGCCCCTCCCATGGAGGGGGGATGAAGCCCTCCACCCATATCCCGCTTCATCCCCCCTCCATACCCGCTTCATCCCCCTCCATACCCGCCTCAGGCCCCCTCCATACCCGCCTCATGGCCCCCTCCATACCCACCTCATCCCCCTCCAACCCGCCTCATCCCCCTCCATACCCGCCCCACCCCCTCCATCCATCAGTGCCCCCTCCATACCCGCCTCATCCCCCCTCCATAGCCCCCCCCCATACCCACCCTGGCCCCCTCCCATCCATCACAGTGCCCCCTCCATACCCACCTCATCCCCCCTCCATACCCGCCTCAGCACCCTCCATACCCGCCCACCCCCCCTCCATACCCGCCTCATCCCCCTCCATAACCCGCCTCATCCCCCCTCCATACCCACCCCCGGCCCCCTCCCATCCATCACAGTGCCCCCTCCATACCCGCCTCATCCCCCCTCCATACCCGCCTCAGCCCCCTCCATACCCGCCTCATCCCCCCTCCATACCCGCCTCATCCCCCCTCCATACCCGCCTCATCCCCCCTCCATACCCGCCTCATCCCCCTCCATACCCGCCTCATGGCCCCCTCCCCATACCCACGCCTCCCCCCTCCTCCATACCCATCCCCCCATCCCCCCCCATCCATCACCCCAGTGCCCCCTCCATACCGCCTCATCCCCCTCCATACCGCCTCAGCCTCAGCCCCCTCCATACCCACCCATGGCCCCCTCCCATCCATCACAGTGCCCCCCTCCATACCCGCCTCATCCCCCCTCCATACCCGCCTCATCCCCCTCCATACCCGCTTCATCCCCCTCCATACCCCCTCATCCCCCTCCAAACCCGCCTCATCCCCTCCATACCCACCCCGACCCCCTCCCATCCCATCAGTGCCCCCTCCATACCCCATCATCCCCCCTCATACCCCCTCATCCCCCTCCATACCCACCCTGGCCCCCTCCCATCCATCACAGTGCCCCCTCCATACCCGCCTCATCCCCCCTCCATACCCGCCTCAGCACCCTCCATACCCGCCTCATCCCCCCTCCATACCCCCCTCAGACCCCCTCCATACCCATCCCCCTCCTACCCCCCCATCCATCACAGTCCCCCCTCCATACCCCCCTCCATACCGCCTCCCCCTCCATACCCGCCTCAGCACCCTCCATACCCGCCTCACCCCCCTCCATACCCGCCTCATCCCCCCTCCATACCCACACCCGACCCCCTCCCATCCATCACAGTGCCCCCTCCATACCCGCCTCATCCCCCCCTCCATACCCGCCTCATCCCCCCCCTCCATACCCCCCTCAGCCCCCTCCATACCCGCCTCATCCCCCTCCATAACCGCCTCATCCCCCCTCCATACCCACCCCAGGCCCCCTCCCATCCATCACAGTGCCCCCCTCCATACCCGCCTCATCCCCCCTCCATACCCGCCTCAGCCCCCTCCATACCCGCCTCAGCCCCTCCATACCCGCCTCATCCCCCCTCCATACCCCCTCTCATCCCCCTGCATACCCGCCTCATCCCCCTCCATACCCGCCTCATCCCCCTCCCCCTCCATACCCACCCCAGGCCCCCTCCCATCCATCACAGTGCCCCCTCCATACCGCCCTCATCCCCCCTCCATACCCCGCCCATCCCCCTCCATACCCCTCATCCCCCCTCCATACCCACCCCCCCCCATCCCCCCATACCCCCCCCACCCCCTCCCCCATCCCCCCTCCATACCCGCCTCATCCCCCCTCCATACCCGCCTCTCCCCTCCATACCCACCCCACCCCCCCCCCATCCATCACAGTGCCCCTCCTCCATACCCGCCTCATCCCCCCTCCATACCCGCCTCCATCCCCCTCCATACCCCCTCATACCCCCATCCAGTGCCCCCCCCATACCCGCCTCATCCCCCCTCCATACCCGCCCAGCCCCCTCCATACCCGCCTCATCCCCCCCTCCATACCCGCCTCATCCCCCTCCATACCCGCCTCATCCCCCTCCCATCCACCACAGTGCCCCCCTCCATACCATGACCCTCCTCATCCCCCTCCATACCCACATCATCCCCCCTCCATACCCACCCCCCCCCATCCCATCCATCACAGTGCCCCCTCCATACCGCCTCAGCCCCCCTCCATACCCGCCTCATCCCCCTCCATACCCCACCCCTGGCCCCCTCCATACCCACCTCATCCCCCCTCCATACCTCATGCCCCCTGGTCCACCCCCCCCATACCCGCCGCCTCACCCCCCTCCATACCCCCCCACCCGCCTCCCCCCTCCATACCCGCCTCATCCCCCTACCCATACCCATCCCGACCCCCTCCATACCCACCTCAACCCCCTCCTCTCCATCACAGTGCCCCCTCAGCCCCCTCCCATCCATCACAGTGCCCCCTCACCATACCTTGGCCCCCTCCATCCATCACAGTGCTCCCTCACCCCTCCTCAGCCCCCTCCATCCATCACAGTGCCCCCTCACCCTCCTCAGTCCCCTCCATCCATCACAGTGCCCCTCACCCACCTCAGCCCCATCATCCATCACAGTGCTCCCTCACCCCCTCCAGCCCCCTCCATCCATCATAGTGCTCCCTCACCCTCCTCAGTGCCCCCTCCATCCATCATAGTGCTCCCTCACCCTCCTCAGCCCCTCCATCCATCACAGTGCTCCCTCACCCGCCTCAGCCCCCTCCATCCATCATAGTGCTCCCTCACCCTCCTCAGCCCCCTCCATCCATCACAGTGCCCCTCCACCCACATCAGCCCCCTCCATCCATCACAGTGCCCCCATCACCCTCCTCAGCCCCCTCTATCCATCACAGTGCCCCCTCCCCTCCTCAGCCCCCCTCCATCCATCACAGTGCCCCCCTCACCCTCCTCAGTCCCCCCCTCTATCCATCACAGTGCCCCCTCACCCTCCTCGCCCCCCTCCATCCATCACAGTGCCCCTCACCCTCCTCAGTCCCCTCCATCCATCATAGTGCCCCTCACCCTCCTCAGCCCCTCTATCCATCACAGTGCCCCTCACCCACCTCAGTCCCCTCCATCCATCACAGTGCCCCCCTCACCCACCTCAGCCACCTCCATCCATCACAGTGCCCCTCACCCACCTCAGCCCCTCCATCCATCACAGTGCTCCCTCACCTCACCCTCCTCAGTCCCCTCCATCCATCACAGTGCCCCTCACCCACCTCAGCCCCTCCATCCATCATAGTGCTCCCCTCACCCTCCTCAGTCCCCTCCATCCATCACAGTGCCCCTCACCCACCTCAGCCCCCTCCATCCATCACAGTGCTCCCTCACCCTCCTCAGTCCCTCCATCCATCACAGTGCCCCTCACCCTCCTCAGTCCCCCTCCATCCATCACAGTGCCCCTCACCCACCTCAGCCCCTCCATCCATCACAGTGCTCCCTCACCCACCTCAGCCCCCTCTATCCATCACAGTGCCCCCTCACCCCCCCCATCCATCACAGTGCCCCCTCACCCTCCTCAGTCCCCTCCATCCATCACAGTGCCCCTCACCCACCTCAGCCCCCCTCCATCCATCACAGTGCCCCCTCACCCTCCTCAGTCCCCCTCTATCCATCACAGTGCCCCCTCACCCCCCTCCATCCATCACAGTGCCCCTCATCCCCCTCCATCCTCAGTCCCCTCAATCCATCACAGTGCCCCCTCACCCTCCTCAGTCCCCTCTATCCATCACAGTGCCCCCTCACCCCCCTCCATCCATCACAGTCATGCCCCTCACCTTCCTCAGTCCCCTCTATCCATCACAGTGCCCCTCACCCACCTCAGCCCCTCCATCCATCACAGTGCCCCCCTCACCCTCCTCAGTCCCCTCTATCCATCACAGTGCCCCCCCCTCACCCCCTCCATCCATCACAGTGCCCCCTCACCCTCCTCAGTCCCCTCTATCCATCACAGTGCCCCCTCACCCCCCTCCATCCATCACAGTGCCCCTCACCCTCCTCAGTCCCCTCTATCCATCACAGTGCCCCCTCACCCCCCCCTCCATCCATCACAGTGCCCCTCACCTTCCTCAGTCCCCTCTATCCATCACAGTGCCCGCTCACCCTCCTCAGCCCCCTCTATCCATCACAGTGCCCCTCACCCTCCTCAGTCCCCTCTATCCATCACAGTGCTCCCTCACCCTCCTCAGCCCCCTCCATCCATCACAGTGCCCCTCACCCTCCTCAGTCCCCTCTATCCATCACAGTGCCCCCTCACCCTCCTCGGCCCCCTCCATCCATCACAGTGCCCCTCACCCTCCTCGGCCCCCTCCATCCATCACAGTGCTCCCTCACCCACCTCAGCCCCTCCATCCATCACAGTGCCCCCTCACCTCCTCAGTCCCCCTCCATCCATCACAGTGCCCCTCTCACCCTCCTCGGCCCCCTCCATCCATCACAGTGCCCCTCACCCTCCTCAGTCCCCTCTATCCATCACAGTGCCCCCTCACCCCCCTCCATCCATCACAGTGCCCCTCACCCTCCTCAGTCCCCTCCATCCATCACAGTGCCCCCTCACCCTCCTCAGTCCCCTCCATCCATCACAGTGCCCCCTCACCCTCCTCGGCCCCCTCCATCCATCACAGTGCCCCCTCACCCTCCTCAGTCCCCTCTATCCATCACAGTGCCCCCTCACCCTCCTCGGCCCCCCCTCCATCCATCACAGTGCCCCCTCACCCTCCTCAGTCCCCTCTATCCATCGCAGTGCCCCCTCACCCTCCTCGGCCCCCTCCATCCATCACAGTGCCCCCTTACCAACGTCCAGCTCACAAAATTGCCACCCACCCTGCCGCCCGCCACCCATCACACAGCCCCTTTTCTGCTCACCCTCTCCCTCTATTTATGCTGCTTGCATTTACAAATGAATGTAATGAAGTATTAATAAACACGGAGCGGCATTCATGGCGTCCTTTATATCAACCTGACGTTTCGTGTTACAGAGGAATAGTATGATATAGCATGACGGTTAAGTAGTCCCCCCAACTGCACTTCAACAATTCTTGTGGGAGAGACCACTAAACCCACCTGGCTGATTCTGCGCCAACGTGCAGTCCGAGCTGCGCTGGTACTCCCCGCTCAGATGCCAACTGAACTCCTGTGTGAACGGGCAAAAGTCGGCGATCTCCACCGCACCTCCGTAATGGGGGAGATCCTCCGGACGCACCCCGGGGATGGCATCAAAGTACTGAACACCACAGAGGGGGGAACAAGAGTCAGGTATAGAAGACTGAATATCAGAATAAATCATCCATGACAGGTGAAGGGATTCATCAATTGTCCTGAAAGTCCTGATCTTCCTTCTCCAGGTAATCACTGACATCTGGGAATATAGAATACGGCTCCTCTGTATATTCAGAGCTCCTCCCATCTTTCCCTGTATATTGGGGGCTCCTCCTATCCCCCCCCTGTATAATACGGTTCCTCTGTATATTGGGGGCTCCTCCTATCCCCCCCCTGTATAATACGGTTCCTCTGTATATTGGGGGCTCCTCCTACCCCCCCTGTATAATACGGTTCCTCTGTATATTGGGGGCTCCTCCTACCCCCCCTGTATAATACGGTTCCTCTGTATATTGGGGGCTCCTCCTACCCCCCCTGTATAATACGGTTCCTCTGTATATTGGGGGCTCCTCCTACCCCCCCTGTATAATACGGTTCCTCTGTATATTGGGGGCTCCTCCTATCCCCCCCCTGTATAATACGGTTCCTCTGTATATTGGGGGCTCCTCCTATCCCCCCCCTGTATAATACGGTTCCTCTGTATATTGGGGGCTCCTCCTATCCCCCTCCTGTATAATATGGTTCCTCTGTATATTGGGGGCTCCTCCTACCCCCCCTGTATAATACGGTTCCTCTGTATATTGGGGGCTCCTCCTATCCCCCCCCTGTATAATACGGTTCCTCTGTATATTGGGGGCTCCTCCTACCCCCCCTGTATAATACGGTTCCTCTGTATATTGGGGGCTCCTCCTATACCCCCCCCTGTATAATACGGTTCCTCTGTATATTGGGGGCTCCTCCTATCCCCCCCCCTGTATAATACGGTTCCTCTGTATATTGGGGGCTCCTCCTATCCCCCCCCCCCTGTATAATACGGTTCCTCTGTATATTGGGGCTCCTCCTATGCGGGGCCCCCCCCCCCACTGTATAATACGGTTCCTCTGTATATTGGGGGCTCCTCCTATCCCCCCCTGTATAATACGGTTTCCTCTGTATATTGGGGGCTCCTCCTATCCCCCCCTGTATAATAGGTTTCCTCTGTATATTGGGGGCTCCTCCTATCCCCCCCTGTATAATACGGTTCCTCTGTATATTGGGGGCTCCTCCTATCCCCCCCCCCTGTATAATACGGTTCCTCTGTATATTGGGGGCTCCTCCTATCCCCCCCTGTATATAATACGGTTCCTCTGTATATTGGGGGCTCCTCCTATCCCCCCCCCTGTATAATACGGTTCCTCTGTATATTGGGGGCTCCTCCTATCCCCCCCCCTGTATAATACGGTTCCTCTGTATATTGGGGGCTCCTCCTACCCCCCCTGTATAATACGGTTCCTCTGTATATTGGGGGCTCCTCCTACCCCCCCTGTATAATACGGTTTCCTCTGTATATTGGGGGCTCCTCCTATCCCCCCCCCTGTATAATACGGTTCCTCTGTATATTGGGGGCTCCTCCTATCCCCCCCCCTGTATAATACGGTTCCTCTGTATATTGGGGGCTCCTCCTATCCCCCCCCCCCCCCTGTATAATACGGTTCCTCTGTATATTGGGGGCTCCTCCTATCCCCCCCCCTGTATAATACGGTTCCTCTGTATATTGGGGGCTCCTCCTATCCCCCCCCCTGTATAATACGGTTCCTCTGTATATTGGGGGCTCCTCCTATCCCCCCCTGTATAATACGGTTCCTCTGTATATTGGGGCTCCTCCTATCCCCCCCCCACTGTATAATACGGTTCCTCTGTATATTGGGGGCTCCTCCTATCCCCCCCCCCCCTGTATAATACGGTTTCCTCTGTATATTGGGGGCTCCTCCTATCCCCCCCCCTGTATAATACGGTTCCTCTGTATATTGGGGGCTCCTCCTATCCCCCCCCCTGTATAATACGGTTCCTCTGTATATTGGGGCTCCTCCTATCCCCCCCCCCTGTATAATACGGTTCCTCTGTATATTGGGGGCTCCTCCTACCCCCCCCCCTGTATAATACGGTTCTTCTGTATATTGGGGGGCTCCTCCTATCCCCCCCCCTGTATAATACGTTTCCTCTGTATATTGGGGGCTCCTCCTACCCCCCCTGTATAATACGGTTCCTCTGTATATTGGGGGCTCCTCCTATCCCCCCCCCTGTATAATACGGTTCCTCTGTATATTGGGGGCTCCTCCTATCCCCCCCCCACTGTATAATACGGTTTCCTCTGTATATTGGGGGCTCCTCCTATCCCCCCCTGTATAATAAGGTTCTTCTGTATATTGGGGCTCCTCCTATCCCCCCCTGTATAATAAGGTTCCTCTGTATATTGGGGCTCCTCCTACCCCCCCTGTATAATACTGTTTCCCCTGTATATTGGGGGCTCCTCCTACCCCCCCTGTATAATACGGTTCCTCTGTATATTGGGGGCTCCTCCTATCCCCCCTGTATAATATGATTTCCTCTGTATATTGGGGGCTCCTCCTATCCCCATGTATAATATGGCTCCTCTGTATATTGGGGGCTCCTCCTATCCCCCCCCCCCCCGTATAATACTGTTTCTCTGTATATTGGGGGCTCCTCCTCTCCCCCCTTGTGGGAGGGCAAAAAGCACAATATGGCAGTGGCACCCTTAGGGCTCATTCACATGTAAAGTTGGGGGGTTTTTTACCGCCCCCAATCCCCACCCCCTTTAGCAGCTGAGGCAGCAGCAGCCAAAGGTGTACAGATGCGGCAGCACCAATTACACCCCCTGCTGCTACCACCTACCAATCAGACCCATCCAAGTAAACGGGGCAGCCACGCTGCAAGCGCCCCACAACTGCATGCTTCTGCGGGGTCCAAGGGGTTAAATCAGGGGGTGAGAAAGCAACACAACGCGGCCCGCTTTAACCCCTTGTCTGCTGTACTGCACAAGGTTTCAGAGCTGCCTGCATGGCACGGGGGTGCGGTTGGGGCATCTTAACTATGTGATTTTACCACCCCCAAACTGAAAAGGGAAATGAACCCTTTCTGATCCCCTTATAAGGCTGCTTTCACACCGATGTGCTGCGGTCTACCCGTCCTGCGGGTGCATCTGCGACATTCCTGGTTTAGCTGTGCTTTCCCATAGACTTCTATGATATCCTGCAGCTGTGGTGCACTTTCTGAAATGCACCGAAATTCCTGCAGTCTATGGCCAAGCGCAGCAAACCTGCAGGAAAGCTCCAGGTACACTGCACTGCACTGCACCCGTGGTGTGGGCAGACCGCAGCACATCAGTGTGAAAGCAGCCCTATACTATTATACCCGGTGTATTGTGTCATACTGACCTGAAGATCTCTTCTTTGCAGGTGCAGTGAAGGGCAGTATACAGCAGGGGGGTGCATACAGTAGGGGAGGGTGCAGTGTGGGGTGGGGACGATGCAGTGCGGGGTGGGAGGACGATGCAGTGCGGGGTGGGAGGACGATGCAGTGCAGGGAGAAGAGTCGATGCAGTAGGGGGGGAGGACGATGCAGTGCGGGGTGGAGGACGATGCAGTGCAGGGAGAAGAGTCGATGCAGTATGGGGTGGGAGGACGATGCGATGCGGGGTGGGAGGACGATGCAGTGCGGGGTGGGAGGACGATGCAGTGCGGGGTGGGAGGACGATGCAGTGCGGGGTGGGAGGACGATGCAGTGCGGGGTGGGAGGACGATGCAGTGTGCGGGGGTGGAGGAGGACGATGCAGTGCGGGGTGGGAGGACGATGCAGTGCGGGGTGGTGGAAGGACGATGCAGTGCGGGGTGGGAGGACGATGCAGTGCGGGGTGGGAGGACGATGCAGTGCGGGGTGGGAGGACGATGCATGCAGTGCGGGGTGGGAGGACGATGCACTGCGGGGTGGGAGGACGATGCAGTGCGGGGTGGGAGGACGATGCAGTGCGGGGTGGGAGGGACGATGCAGTGCGGGGTGGGAGGACGATGCAGTGCGGGGTGGGAGGACGATGCACTGCGGGGTGGGAGGGACGATGCAGTGCGGGGTGGGGAGGACGATGCAGTGCGGGGTGGGAGGACGATGCAGTGCGGGGTGGGAGGACGATGCAGTGCGGGGTGGGAGGACGATGCGGTTTACCACAGCGATAAGTACCTGGTACTCCTGGGGGAGTCTCTGGGGGAACCTCTGCAGGTTACAGATGGCCACAGCTCTCTGGTCTTGCCTGCAGGCCAGTTTTAAAGGGTTACTCCGCAGTGTGTGGCAGAAAGGGCTGACGCTGCGATTCCTGCAGAGAAAGTCCAATGAAGGATCTCCTGATACAGAGACAGTCCGGCACACAGCACATGTACAGAGGACATCCCTACCGCCTGCTCTGCTGCTCCATCCAGAACTTGCAGCTCTTCATGACAAAGTCGCAGCCCTTCCCGCGGCCCCAGTCCAGTCTCTGCGCCATGCTGTAGTTGGCTCTGTACCATCTGGAACAGGAATCAGTCATGTCACACACAGCCCAATGTGGGGATCCCCGTCACCGAGAAACCATGAACTGACAGCAATGACTGAACTGACTGAACTGACTGAAACCATGAATGAACTGAACTGACTGAAACCAAACTGACTGCAAAACTGACTGAACTGAACTGAAAATGACAGAAACGATGAACTGACTGAACTGACAGAAACGATGAATGAACTGAAACTGAACTGACAGAAACGATGAACTGACTGAACTGACAGAACGATGAACGACTGAACTGACAGAAACGATGAACTGACTGAACTGACAGAAACGATGAACTGATGAAATGATGAACTGACTGAACTGACATGACGATGAACTGAAATGATGAACTGACTGACACTGACAGAAACGACTGACAGAACTGACTGAACTGACAGAAACGATGAACTGACTGAACTGACAGAAACGATGAACTGACTGAAATGATGAACTGACTGAAAACGATGAACAGAAACGATGAACTGACTGACATGAAATGACTGAAACGACTGAAACTAACTGACTGACACAGTTTCAAAGGTCTCACCCGCAAGTCTACAAGGAACGGCTCCCCACACCAGAAAGCGGGGCAGCGATATTTCCTGAGCGACCTGCCCTAAAGTCTCAGCTGTCTTTTTTGGCTCCTAAGAGACCATTCCGGTCATTTCATAGGACCCGCAGCTTTCCTATGGAGGTGAATATTCGGTTTTATCTTGGACTGATCGATGGTTTACATTTCCACAGCAGCTAAATGGTTAGCACTGCCGCCTGGCAGTACTCAGGTCGTTGGTTCGATTCCCAACCACAGCACCACCTGCCTGGAGTTTGCATGTTCTCCCTGTGCCTGCGTGGATTTCCTCCGGGTACTCTGGTTTCCTCCCTTACTCTAAAGACATATGCTGGTAGGTTAATTGGCTCCTGTCTAAATTGGCCCTAGTATGTGAATGTGAGTTAGGGACCTTAGATTGTACGCTCCTCGGGGCGGGGACTGATGTGAATGTACGATATATATGTGTAAAGCGCGGAGTACATTGACGGCGCTGTATAAGTACCTGAAATAAATAAATAAATGAACCGCAGCCACTCCCCACCATAGCGGCTGATGAAATGCGCATTGGGGGGGTCAATTCGCTAAGAGTTAAATAACGACCGAAAAAATGCGGTAAATTCTTTGCAAAGGTGCAGTTCACTAAGAATTTTGCGGCAAATAACTCTTGCGGTAAAATATCCGTATTGTGGTAATTTCTCGCACAGTAGCTGGTTGTTAGGGAAGCCGGCCGCGGCGTCCTTAGCAACGGATAACTCATCAGCTGTTAGCGGGGGTCCCACTGACAGCTGAATGTAAACAAAGCATTCCGGCGATTACAAATGATGAAAGAACAGTGTGGGCTCCCCCCCCCCAACCATACCGGGCCCTTTGGGTCTGGTATGGATTTTAAATAAAACCCCACACCAAAATTTAAAAAAAAAACAAAAACAAAAAACATTCCTTCGGTCTGGTATAGATTTTGGGGGAACCCCACAGCAAAAAAAAAAAGAAAAATAGAATGCGGGTCCCCTCACAATCCTAAGGGATTTGGGGTCTGGTATGGATCTGGGGGGGACCCCACACTGGTTTGAAAAAAGTTTGGCGTGGGGTTCCCCTTAATATTCATACCAGACCCCCAGGGCTTGGGGGGGAACCCCCTCGCCACATGTGATACCGCCAGCACAACCCTGGTGATAAAATATTGCATCTTTCTTTATGTTCTGTTATCAGCTCACCGCCGTCTGTTTTTTGGCGGGATTAACTTTCACGGTTTTAATTTAGCGTTAAATACCGCAAAATCGTTGTTTTCTTGTGAATTGGACATTTTATTACCGCATGCGATCATTTATGCAAATGAGTCACGTGACAGCGCTGTCGCATGCGGTACCTTTAGTGAATGGACCCCATTTGTCAGCATTGTGAACAGGAATATTGACAGAAGGTCCGAGACGCTAAATCCTTCCAAAAAACCGAAACTGGATAAGCCAGACACGCCCCCTCCCCCAGTCAGAAAATATTATTGGAGAGCCTGGATATGTGGGAGGTGCTATTTTGGGGATCTGAAATATGGTGGTCCTGAAATATCTGGAATGTGTGGGACCCACAATATTGGGAACCTGGAATGTCAGGGATCAGGAATATTGGGGACCTGGAATATCAGGAATATGGAGGACCTGGAATATCAGGGATCAGGAATATGGAGGACCTGGAATATGGGAGGGGATCAGGAATATGGAGAGGACCTGGAATATCAGGGATCAGGAATATGAAGGACCTGGAATATCAGGGATCAGGAATATAGAGGACCTGGAATATCAGGGATCAGGAATATGGAGGACCTGGAATATCAGGGATCAGGAATATGGAGGACCTGGAATATCAGGGATCAGGAATATGGAGGACCTGGAATATCAGGGATCAGGAATATGGAGGACCTGGAATATCAGGGATCAGGAAATATGGAGGACCTGGAATATCAGGGATCAGGAATATGGAGGACCTGGAATATCAGGGATCAGGAATATGGAGGACCTGGAATATCAGGGATCAGGAATATGGAAGATCTGGAATATCAGGAATATGGAGGACCTGGAATATCAGGGATCAGGAATATGGAGGACCTGGAATATCAGGGATCAGGAATATGGAGGACCTGGAATATCAGGAATATGGAGGACCTGGAATATCAGGAATATGGAGGACCTGGAATATCAGGGATCAGGAATATGGAGGACCTGGAATATCAGGGATCAGGAATATGGAGGACCTGGAATATCAGGGATCAGGAATATGGAAGATCTGGAATATCAGGAATATGGAGGACCTGGAATATCAGGAATATGGAGGACCTGGAATATCAGGGATCTTGAATATGGAGGACCTGGAATATCAGGGATCAGGAATATGGAGGACCTGGAATATCAGGAATATGGAGGACCTGGAACATCAGGGATCAGGAATATGGAGGACCTGGAACATCAGGGATCAGGAAAATGGAGGACCTGGAACATCAGGGATCAGGAATATGGAGGACCTGGAACATCAGGGATCAGGAATATGGAGGACCTGGAATATCAGGGATCAGGAATATGGAGGACCTGGAATATCAGGGATCTTGAATATGGAGGACCTGGAATATCAGGGATCAGGAATATGGAGGACCTGGAATATCGAGGACCCTTCCAAATATGGGGGATGACACACATCACGGCAATCCAGGGCTGGTGATGGAGATTCACCCCGACTGTCTTGTTCATCGTCTACACAAAGCGCACAGTATTGACTACACTGCTTGTAACAGGATCTGTGAATGGAGGAGAGTCTTGCCAGTCCCAGGATCCTCTCCTCTATTCACAAGCAGTGGAATCAATAAAAGAACGTCTTTCTCAATGGAGGAGAAGGAATGGATCTGGGGGGGACCCCACACTGGTTTGAAAAAAGTTTGGCGTGGGTTCCCCTTAATATTCATACCAGACCCCCAGGGCTTGGGGGGGAACCCCCCTCGCCACATGTGATACCGCCAGCACAAACCTGGTGATAAATATTGCATCTTTCTTTATGTTCTGTTATCAGCTCACCGCCGTCTGTTTTTTGGCGGGATTAACTTTCACGGTTTTAATTTAACGTTAAATACCGCACAATCGTTATTTGTTTTCTTGTGAATTGGACATTTTATTACCGCATGCGATCATTTATGCAAATGAGTCACGTGACAGCGCTGTCGCATGCGGTACCTTTAGTGAATGGACCCCATTTGTCAGCATTGTGAACAGGAATATTGACAGAAGGTCCGAGACGCTAAATCCTTCCAAAAAAACGAAACTGGATAAGCCAGACACGCCCCCTCCCCCAGTCAGAAAATATTATTGGAGAGCCTGGATATGTGGGAGGTGCTATTTTGGGGATCTGAAATATGGTGGTCCTGAAATATCTGGAATGTGTGGGACCCACAATATTGGGAACCTGGAATGTCAGGGATCAGGAATATTGGGGACCTGGAATATCAGGAATATGGAGGACCTGGAATATCAGGGATCAGGAATATGGAGGACCTGGAATATCAGGGATCAGGAAATATGAAGGACCTGGAATATCAGGGATCAGGAATATGGAGGACTTGGAATATCAGGGATCAGGAATATGGAGGACTTGGAATATCAGGGATCAGGAATATGGAGGACCTGGAATATCAGGGATCAGGAATATGGAAGATCTGGAATATCAGGAATATGGAGGACCTGGAATATCAGGGATCAGGAATATGGAGGACCTGGAATATCAGGGATCAGGAATATGGAGGACCTGGAAATATCAGGAATATGGAGGACCTGGAATATCAGGAATATGGAGGACCTGGAATATCAGGGATCAGGGATATGGAGGACCTGGAATATCAGGGATCAGGAAATATGGAGGACCTGGAATATCAGGGATCAGGAATATGGAAGATCTGGAATATCAGGAATATGGAGGACCTGGAATATCAGGAATATGGAGGACCTGGAATATCAGGGATCTTGAATATGGAGGACCTGGAATATCAGGAATATGGAGGACCTGGAATATCAGGGGATCAGGAATATGGAGGACCTGGAACATCAGGGATCAGGAATATGGAGGACCTGGAATATCAGGGATCAGGAATATGGAGGACCTGGAACATCAGGGATCAGGAATATGGAGGACCTGGAATATCAGGGATCAGGAATATGGAAGATCTGGAATATGGAGGACCTGGAATATCAGGAATATGGAGGACCTGGAATATCAATCAGGAATATGGAGGACCTGGAATATCAGGGATCTTGAATATTGGGGACCTGGAATATCAAGGATCAGGAATATGGAGGACCTGGAATATCAGGGATCAGGAATATTGGGGACCTGGAATATCAGGGATCAGGAATATGGAGGACCTGGAAATATCAGGGATCTTGAATATTGGGGACCTGGAATATCAGGGATCAGGAATATGGAGGACCTGGAATATCAGGGATCTTGAATATGGAGGACCTGGAATATCAGGGATCAGGAATATGGAGGACCTGGAATATCAGGAATATTGGGGACCTGGAATATCGAGGACCCTTCCAAATATGGGGGATGACACACATCACGGCAATCCAGGGCTGGTGATGGAGATTCACCCCGACTGTCTTGTTCATCGTCTACACAAAAGCGCACAGTATTGACTACACTGCTTGTAACAGGATCTGTGAATAGAGGAGAGTCTTGCCAGTCCCAGGATCCTCTCCTCTATTCACAAGCAGTGGAATCAATAAAAGAACGTCTTTCTCAATGGAGGAGAAGGAAGGGGGGGTACTGGGGGAATGTCCCTGTTGCACCTTCTATATTGCTGTTATGTCCGAAGACCTGAAGCTGGTAACGATTGCAGCGCCGGATGTTCAGAGACAGGAAGAGGACTGGCAGCCCTGCAGTGAAGAGTTCACCAGGACCCAGCTGCCTGCACATCAGACATCTTTGTTACATGTCAGTGATGAGACTAAACCTGTAGGGCTTATTTTTTAGCTAAACTTCAGCTAAAGGTGGAAGATTTTTTTTACTTTAATGCATTCAATGGCTCAAGGTAACCCCCCCCCCCTTTGTACTTACGTGATCCAGCACTGTATCCGCCCTCTCTGTTCTAATTGGCTCAGAAACCGCATGTGGAGCCAGTGAGGAGGGAGTGGGGGGGCAGGACCAAGCCAAGCTATGCTGTGTGTAGCAATGGATACACAGAGCGGGGCTCGGGAGGAAGGAGGCACCCCCACAGCAAGCGGCTTGCTCTGGGGGGAGTTCAGCTTGGGGGGGGGGGGGAGCGCTGGCAGGGGACTACAGGAGAGGAAAATCCGGGATGCTCTGAGCAGCAAAAACAGGTATGACATGCTTGTTATTTTTAAAAAATAAAATGTCATCCTTTAGCCCGGGTTCACACGTGTGTGGTGCGGAACATCGCATGTAATTCGCCCCGGAACCGCATTCCTGAGCAATTCACATGCAAACTCTGTGCGGTGCAATCGGAGTCGTGCAATTTGTATGGCTCAAGTCGCACCGCATCTGCACCAAAAAAGTGGAGGAACCTTTGGGTCGGCACTAGAATCGGATCGCACGGGTAGTCACACCTACATGATCCGATTCTGCACATCGCACCGCGTTTTGTGGACCAATTTCGGGGGGGGGGGGGGGGGGGTTAACATACACACCTGCAGGGGCTCGCATGAACGGGGAGCGATTCTGATGCGGGGCGGAATTCGCACAGAAAACGCTGCAAACACTGCACCACATCAGTGTGATCCCGGCTGACAATCACTTCAAATGTTTATAGAAAAAAAAAAAAGCAACAGAAAACAATTTTATTCACACTATGTATTCATAGGAGGACGGACCTTCCCTCGCCGTCTGATCAATGCTGATGGGGCAGCACAGCGGATAAATGGTTAGCTTCCTCAGGGGGGGGGGGGGAACCTCAGGAAGGGGGGTGGGGGTCCTCAGGAAGGGGGGTGGGGGTCCTCAGGAAGGGGGGAGGGGGGGGATGCTCAGTAAGAGAAGGGGGGGGGGGGATGAGTCCTCAGGAAGGGGTGGGGGGGGGGAAAATTCTCAGGAAGGGGAGTGGGGGAATCCGAAGGAAAGGGGAGGGGGGAATCCTCAGAAAAGGGGTGTGGGGATCATCAGGAAGAGGAGGGGGGTGGGGATCCTCAGGAAGGGGGAGAAGCCTCAGGAAGGGGGGGGGAATATCCTCAGGAAGGAGAGGGGGGGGAATCCTCAGGAAGGGGGGGGGGGGGGGGGAGATCAACAGGAAGGGAGGAGGGGAATCCTCAGGAAAGGGAGGGGAGAGAATCCACAGGAAGGGTGGGGGGGAAAACCTCAGGAAAGGGAGGGGGGAGGGAATCCTCAGAAAGGAGGGGGGACCCACAGGAAGGAGGGGGGGGGGTGATCCTCGGAAGGAAGGGGGGGGAGGATCCTCAGGAGGGAGAGGGGGGGGACCTGCTCAGGAAGGGGGGGGGGGGGGGAATCCTCAGGAAGGAGGGGGGGGAAGCCTCAGGAAGGGGAGGGGGGGAAGCCTCAGGAAGGGGGGGGGGGGGAAGCCTCAGGAAGGGGAGGGGGGGAATCCTCAGGAAGGGGAGGGGGGAATCCTCAGGAAGGGGAGGGAGGGAATCCTCAGGAAAGGGGAGGGAGGGAATCCTCAGGAAAGGGGAGGGGGGAATCCTCACACAGGGGGGGAATCCTCAGGAAAGGGAGGGGAGGGAATCCTCACGCAGGGGAGGGGGGAATCCTCAGGAAAGGGAAGGGAATCCTCAGGAAGGGGAGGGGGGAATCCTCAGGAAGGGGAGGGGAGGTAATCCTCAGGAAGGGGAGGGGGAGGTAATCCTCAGGAAGGGGAGGGGGGGTAATCCTCAGGAAGGGGAGGGGGGAATCCTCAGGAAGGGGAGGGGGGGAAGCCTCAGGAAAGGGGAGGGGGGGGGAAGCCTCAGATTGGGGAGGGGGAAGGGGGAGGGGGGGGAAGCCTCCAGGAAGGGGGGGAGGGGGGAAGCCTCAGGAAGGGGAGGGGGGGGAAATCCTCAGGAATGGGGAGGGGGGGGGAATCCTCAGGAAGGGGAGGGGGGGGAATCCTCAGGAAGGGGAGGGAGGGAATCCTCAGGAAGGGGAGGGAAGGGAATCCTCAGGAAGGGGAGGGAGGGAATCCTCAGGAAGGGGAGGGGGGGAATCCTCAGGAAAGGGAGGGGGGGAATCCTCACGCAGGGGAGGGGGGAATCCTCAGGAAAGGGAGGAGAGGGAATCCTCACGCAAGGGGAGGGGGGAATCCTCAGGAAAGGGGAGGGGAGGGAATCCTCAGGAAGAGGGAGGGAGGTAATCCTCAGGAAGGGGGGGGGGGAGGTAATCCTCAGGAAAAGGGGGGGGGAATCCTCAGGAAGGGGAGTGGGGAATCCTCAGGACCCTGGGAGGGAATCTTCAGGAACTGGGGAGGGGGGAATCCTCAGGAAGGGGAGGGGGGAATCCTCTGAAGGGGAGGGGGGAATCCTCAGGAAGGGGAGGGGGGGAATCCTCAGGAAGGGGAGGGGGGAAATCCTCAGGAAGGGGAGGGGGGAATCCTCAGGAAGGGGAGGGAATCTTCAGGAAGGGGGAGGGGTTTATTGCCGGTGCTATACAAGTACCTGTAATAAATAAACAAATAATATTACAATGTCCTCACCCCGTATCCTCCATCAGTGCCAGAGTTATCCTGGAAAACACCCGGGTTCTGGGTGTGGGAACCAGTCATGGCTTCATTCTGTGGGCAGGAAAGGGGCGGGGTTAGTGAGGAGGCAGCCTATCAGATGAGGAGAGATGATGAATATAATATAATTATCCTGTACCTCCAGCAGCCTCTTCTCCCAATGGTTTGAGCTCGGTGCCCATCCCGCCCTGGTTCTCCAGCTCCATCCCTTCCAGGATTGGACAGTTAAAATGTCTGCGGACCTCGTCCTGTGCGCACGGGGGAACAGAAGACCAATCATCATTCCTGTGTGCAATCCCTGCGTGCTCTACTACACCATGAAACAGGAATATCATTCCAGAGAGAATGGGGAAAAACAGCACCAACTTCTTAACCCCTCGCCTACCGGGCACTTCTACCCCCTTCCTGCCTACAGGGCACTTCTACCCCCTTCCTGCCTGCCGGGCACTGTCACCCCCTTCCTGCCTGCCGGGCACTGTCACCCCCTCCCTGCCTGCCGGGGCACTGTCACCCCCTCCCTGCCTGCTGCGGGCACTGTCTACCCCCTCCCTGCCTGCTGCGCACTTCTACCCCCTTCCTGCCTACGGGGCACTTTCTACCCCCTTCCTGCCTACAGGGCACTTCTACCCCCTTCCTGCCTACAGGGCACTTCTACCCCCTTCCTGCCTGCCGGGCACTTCTACCCCCCTCCCTGCCTGCAGGGCACTTCTACCCCCTTCCTGCCTGCCGGGCACTTCTACCCCCTTCCTGCCCACCGGGCACTTCTACCCCCTTCCTGCCTACCGGCACTTCTACCCCCTTCCTGCCTAAAGGGACACTTCTACCCCCTTCCTGCCTACAGGACACTTCTACCCCCTTCCTGCCTACAGGCACTTCTACCCCCTTCCTGCCTACAGGACACTTCTACCCCCTTCCTGCCTACAGCGGGCACTTCTACCCCCTTCCTGCCTACAGGGCACTTCTACCCCCTTCCTGCCTACAGGACACTTCTACCCCCTTCCTGCCTACCGGACACTTCTACCCCCCCTTCCTGCCCACCGGGCACTTCTACCCCCTTCCTGCCTACAGGGCACTTCTACCCCCTTCCTGCCTACCGGGCACTTCTACCCCCTTCCTGCCCGGGCCAACGCCAGCTTTCAGCTGCAGCGCTGTCGTACTTTGAACGACAAATGCGCGGTCATACCCAGATAAAATTATCATTTTTTCCACACAAATAGAGCTTTCCTCTGGTGGTATTTACTTGCTGCTGAGGGTTTATTTTTGGCACTATAAACGAAAAAAGAGCAAATAATTTGAAAAAAAAAAAAAAGTTTTCTTTGTTTCGTTTATAAAATTTTGCAAACAGGTAAGTTTTTCTCCTTCACTGATGTGTGTTGATGAGGCGGCACTGATAGGCAACACTGATGGGCTGCACTGATAGGTAACACTGATAGGCAGTGGACCCCGCATTCACTGTATCCGCTCTCCCCCGGGACCCCCGAGCATTCACTGTATCCGCTCTCCCCGGACCCCGCATTCACTATATCCGCTCTCCCCGGACCCCGCATTCACTGTATCCGCTCTCCCCGGACCCCGCATTCACTGTATCCGCTCTCCCCGGACCCCGCATTCACTATATCCGCTCTCCCCGGACCCCGCATTCACTATATCCGCTCTCCCCGGACCCCCGCATTCACTATATCCGCTCTCCCCGGACCCCGCATTCACTATATCCGCTCTCCCCGGACCCGCATTCACTATATCCCGCTCTCCCCGGACCCGCATTCACTATATCCGCTCTCCCCGGACCCCGCATTCACTATATCCGCTCTCCCCGGACCCCGCATTCACTGTATCCGCTCTCCCCAGACCCCGCATTCACTGTATCCGCTCTCCCCGGACCCCGCATTCACTGTATCCGCTCTCCCCGGACCCCGCATTCACTGTATCCGCTCTCCCCGGACCCCGCATTTCACTATATCCGCTCTCCCCGGACCCCGCATTCACTATATCCGCTCTCCCGGGACCCCGCATTCACTATATCCGCTCTCCCCGGACCCCCGCATTCGCTGTATCCGCTCTCCCGGACCCCGCATTCGCTGTATCCGCTCTCCCCGGACCCCGCATTCACTATATCCGCTCTCCCCGGACCCCGCATTCACTATATCCGCTCTCCCCGGACCCCGCATTCACTATATCCACTCTCCCCGGACCCCGCATTCACTATATCCGTTCTCCCTGGACCCCGCATTCACCTATATCCCCTCTCCCCGGACCCCGCGCATTCACTATGTCCGCTCTCCCCGGACCCCGCATTCACTATGTCCGCTCTCCCCGGACCCCGCATTCACTATATCCGCTCTCCCCGGACCCCGCATTCACATATCCCCTCTCCCCGGACCCCGCATTCACTATGTCCGCTCTCCCCGGACCCCGCATTCACTATATATCCGCTCTCCCCGGACCCCGCATTCACTATATCCGCTCTCCCCGGACCCCGCATTCACTATATCCGCTCTCCCCGGACCCCGCATTCACTATATCCGCTCTCCCCGGACCCCGCATTTCACTATATCCGCTCTCCCGGGACCCCGCATTTACTATATCCCCTCTCCCCGGACCCCGCATTCACTATATCGCTCTCCCAGGACCCCGCATTCACTGTATCCGCTCTCCCCGGACCCCGCATTCACTATGTATCCGCTCTCCCCGGACCCCGCATTCACTATATATGCTCTCCCCGGACCCCGCATTTTCACTATATCCCCTCTCCCCGGACCCCGCATTCACTATATCCGCTCTCCCCGGACCCCATTCACTCATCTCACTTCATATCCGCTCTCCCCGGACCCCGCATTCACTATATCCGCTCTCCCCGGACCCCGCATTCACTGTATCCGCTCTCCCCGGACCCGCATTCACTATATCCGCTCTCCCCGGACCCCGCATTCACTATATCCGCTCTCCCCGGACCCGCATTCACTAGTATCCACTCTCCCGGACCCCCGCATTCACTGTATCCCTCTCCCTGGACCCCGCATTCACTATATCCCCTCTCCCCGGACCCCGCATTCACTATGTCCGCTCTCCCCGGACCCCGCATTCACTATATCCGCTCTCCCCGGACCCCGCATTCACTATATCCGCTCTCCCCGGACCCCGCATTCACTATATCCCTCTCCCCGGACCCCGCATTCACTATGTCCGCTCTCCCCGGACCCCGCATTCACTATGTCCGCTCTCCCCGGACCCCGCATTCACTATATCCGCTCTCCCCGGACCCCGCATTCACTATATCCGCTCTCCCGGACCCCGCATTCACTATATCCGCTCTCCCGGACCCCGCATTCACTATGTCCGCTCTCCCCGGACCCCGCATTCACTGTATCCGCTCTCCCCGGACCCCGCATTCACTATGTCCGCTCTCCCCGGACCCTGCATTTACTATATCCCCTCTCCCCGGACCCCCGCATTCACTATATATCCGCTCTCCCCGGACCCCGCATTTACTATATCCGCTCTCCCCGGACCCCGCATTCACTATATCCGCTCTCCCCGGACCCCGCATTTACTATATCAGCTCTCCCCGGACCCCCCGCATTCACTATATCCGCTCTCCCCGGACCCCGCATTTACTATATCCGCTCTCCCCGGACCCCGCATTTACTACATCCGCTCTCCCCGGACCCCGCATTCACACTAGAGGCAGTTCAGTGCGCTTTTTTTCTGCATCAAAAATGCATGCACAGTGTTTTCCATGTATTCCAATGACCTTAGTTCACACCAGTGCAGTCAGTTCCAGTCTGTTTCCGATGCAGAACAAATAGTAGAACACGCTGCATTTCTTCCGCACACAACCATACAGGAACATGGCAAACGACATCAAAACTGCACCGGAACTGCGTGTGGTGTGAACGGTCAGCAAAAACGTATCTGGAATGTATCCGGAGAGCATTTTTGTAGTGTGAACCGGCCCTCATCCCTTTAAACCTGAACACATATGAATGACACGGGTTCTGGGGCGAATTTCATGCAGATAAGTCAGTCTAGGTGAGTTGAATTACCGCCTTCATCAGCCTCAGAACCCGTGTCATGAGGCGAGGTGGCACCCTAGCTGCTAAATCCCTTTACTCATCAGTCTTGTGACTTCTATCAGTGTCCAGCAGAGCACTGGCTGCAGATTGTAGGAGGAGTTTTCATTCTGCTGTAGGAGGATGCAGAATCCCTGACCTGTGTCTGAAAAGTGCTGATTGGCCCTGTGCTGATCACATGCAACCTCCCCCCCCCCCCCCCCCCCCCACCAAGAGAAATAAAAAACCAAAAAAAAAAAAAAAAAAAAAAAAACCTCTATAGCAAATACACACCAAACTGAGAATGTGCAGAGTGACTCCACACGAGGAGGAATACACTGCGCACAAACACAGTGTCTCCCAGAAGGGAGCCCACCTCTCCACCGGACTGTATACAATGTGTGTATATATATATATATGAGTACACACACACACACACAGTATCTCCCAGAAGTGAGTCCCCCCCTCACATTTTTGTAAATATTTGATTCTCTCTATTCATGTGACAACACTGAAGAAATGACACTTTGCTACAATGTGACGTAGTCAGTGTACAGTTTGTATAACATGGAAATTTGCTGTCCCCCCAAAATAACTCAAACACACCGCCATTAATGTCTAAACCGCCGGCAACAAAAGTGACTCCACCCCTAAGTGACAAGGTCCAAATTGGGCCCAATCAGCCATTTTCCCTCCCCGGGGTCATGTGACTCGTTGGTGTTACAAGGTCTCAGGTGTGAATGGGGAGCGGGGGGGTTACATTCGGTGTTATCGCTCTCACTCTCTCTCATACTGGTCACTGGAAGTTCAACATGGCACCTCATGGCAAAGAACTCTCTCAGGATCTGAAAAAAAGAATTGTTGCTCTACATAAAGATGGCCGAGGCTATAAGCAGATTGCAGAGACCCTGAAACTGAGCTGCAGCACACGGTGGCCAAGACCATACAGCGGTGTAACAGGACAGGTTCCACTCACAACAGGCCTCGCCATGGTCCACCAAAGAAGTTGAGTGCACGTGCTCAGCGTCATATCCAGAGGTTGTCTTTGGGAAATAGACGTATGAGTGCTGCCAGCATTGCTGCAGAGGGTGAAGGGGTGGGGGGGGGGGGTCAGCCTGTCAGTGCTGGCATTGCTGCAGGGTGCAGCCTGTTGCTGCCAGCATTGCTGAGGGTGAAGGGGTGGGGGGGTCAGCCTGTCAGTGCTCAGACCATACGCCGCACACTGCGTCACATTGGTCTGCATGGCTGTCGTCCCAGAAGGAAGCCTCTTCTAAAGATGATGGACCAAGAAAGCCGCAAACAGTTTGCTGAAGACAAGCAGACTGAGGACATGGATTACTGGAACCGTCTCCTGTGGTCTGATGACACCAACATCAACTGATTGGGTTCAGATGGTGTCAGGCGTGTGTGGCGGCAACCAGGTGAGGAGTACAAAGACAAGTGTGTCTTGCCTACAGTCAAGCATGGTGGTGGGGGTGTCATGGTCTGGGGCTGCATGGTGGTGGAAGTGTAATGGTCTGGGGCCCCATGGTGGTGGGGTGTCATGGTCTGGGGCCCCATGGTGGTGTGGGAATGTCATGGTCTGGGGCCCCATGGTGGGGGGTGTCATGGTCTGGGGCCACATGGTGGTGGGGGTGTCATGGTCTGGGGCTGCATGAGTGCTGCCGGCACTGGGGGGCTACAGTTCATTGAGGAAACCATGAATGCCAACATGTACTGTGACATACTGAAGCAGAGCATGATCCCCTCCCTTCGGAGACTGGGCCGCAGGGCAGTATTCCAACATAACGACCCCAAACACACCTCCAAGACCACCACTGCCTTGCTAAAGAAGCTGAGGATAAAGGTGATGGACTGGCCAAGCGCATGTCTCCAGACCTAAACCCTATTGAGCATCTGTGGGGCCAAATGGAAGGTAGAGGAGCGCAAGACCTCCAACATCCACCAGCTCCGTGATGACGTCATGGAGGAGTGGAAGAGGACTCCAGTGGCAACCTGTGAAGCTCTGGTGACCTCCATGCCCAAGAGGGTGAAGGCAGTGCTGGAAAATAATGGCGGCCACACAAAATATTGACACTTTGGGCCCAATTTGGACCTTGTCACTTAGGGGTGGACTCACTTCTGAGAGATACTGGATATATATATACACACAGCAGAGACTCACAGTGACTCTGGGGGTGACCAGCAGGTATACTCTGTGTTGGACCATCTTGAATCCGCTGACATCCCAGTTCCTGGTGACGGCACGAACAACACGATCGCTCCACTGATAGACCCCCAGGCTGCAGAGACACAATACAGAGATGGAGCCCCCGTCCCCCGTGTACACACATATCATGGCCACTCACCTCTGTGGATCTCACCTGTCATTGAAGAGCGGGAGCCCATTTATGTACCTTGGAGTCAGAGGATCGCCATTATCATCCCGATACAACGCAAAGAGACCGGCCGAAAATCCCTGAGAGAGGAAACCATAAAGTCCAACACAAATACGAAGGAGGAAATCTATATACCTATACTGGGAGACCGGGCTGATTACAGTATACAGTGAAGGAAATGTGTATTTGCTCCCCTGCTGATGCTGAATGTTCGCCCCTCACACAGAAATGATCGGTCTAACAATGGAATGTTCGCCCCTCACACAGAAACGATCGCTCTAACAATGGAATGTTCGCCCCTCACAAATGATCGGTCTAACAATGGAATGTTCTCCCCTCACACAGAAATGATCGCTCTAACAATGGAATGTTCGCCCCTCACACAGAAATGATCGGTCTAACAATGGAATGTTCGCCCCTCACACAGAAATGATCGGTCTAACAATGGAATGTTCGGTGTAACACTGAGAGACAGAATACAACAACAAATTCAGCAGAAATGCGTCTAACAAATGATGACGGATCTGCATGTTCATGAGGGAAAGAAGGATTTGATCCCCTATCACTCAGCAGGATTTCTGGCTCCCAGGTGTCTCTCATACAGGTAACAAGCTGAGATTAGAAGCAGTCTCTTAAAGGGAGTGCTGCTAATCTCATTGTGTTACCTGTATAAAAGACACCTGTCCACAGGAGCCATCAAACCATCAGATTCCAAACTCTCCACCATGGCAAAGACCAAAGAGCTGTCCAAGGATGTCAGGGACAAGATGGTAGACCTACACAAGGCTGGACTGGGCTACCAAACTATGGCCAAGCAGCTTGGTGAGAAGTGACAACAGTTGGTGCAATCATTCACAAATGGAAGAAACACAAAACAAGTGTCAGTCTCCCTAGGTCTGGTGCACCATGCAAGATCTCACCTCGTGGAGTGTCAATGATCATGAGAACAGTGAGGAATCATCCCAGAACTACACGTGAGGATCTTGTCAATGATCTCCAGGCAGCTGGGACCACAGTCACCAAGAAAACAATTGGTAACACACTACGCCGACAAGGACTGAAATCCTGCAGTGCCCCCGCAAGGTCCCTCGTCTCAAGAAAGCCCATGTCCAGGCCCGTCTGAAGTCTGCCACTGAACATCTGAATGATGCCGAGGAAGACTGGTGGGAAGTGTTGTGGTCAGAGGAGACCAAAATCCAGCTCTTTGGCATCAACTCAACTCACCGTGTTTGGAGGAAGAGGAATGCTGCCTATGACCCCAAGAACACCATCCCAACTGTGAAACATGGTGGTGGAAACATTCTGCTTTGGGGGTGTTTTTCTGCTAAGGGGACAGGACAACTGCACCGCATCAAAGGGACGATGGACGGGGCAATGTACCCTCAAATCTTGGGTGAGAACCTTCTTCCCTCAGCCAGGGCATTGAAAATGGGTGGTGGATGGGTGTTCCAGCATGACAATGACCCAAAACACACGGCCAAGGCAACAAAGGAGCGGCTCAAGAAGAAGCACATTAAGGTCCTGGAGTGGCCTAGCCAGTCTCCAGACCTTCATCCGATTGAAGATCTGTGGAGGGAGCTGAAAGTTCGAGTTGCCAAACGTCAGCCACCAAACCTTAATGACTTGGAGAGGATCTGCCAAGAGGAGTTGGCTAAAATCCCTCCTGAGATGTGTGCGAACCTGGGGGCCAACTCCAGGAAACGTCTGACCTCTGTGATGGCCAACAAGGGATTGGCCACCAAGTACTAAGTCATGTTTTGTGAAGGGGATCAAATCCTTCTTTCCCTCATGAACATGCAGATCAGTCATCATTTGTTCATTACAGTATTATTTACCGGGAGGACCGGGCTGACTAAACAGGAAAGGGGGGTGTCATGGACAGGGGGAGGTGATGGATAGAATGGAGGGGGGGGGGTGATGGACAGGGAGGCGATGGACAGGGGAAGGGGGGGATGGATAGAATGGGGGGGGGGGGGGGTGATGGATGGACAGAGGTGTGAGTGATAAGAGGAATTGGACAGGGGTGGTGGTGGACAGGGGAAGAGATGTGATGGACGGGGGAGGGGGTGATGAACGGGGAAAGGGGTGATGAACAGGGGAAGGGGTGTTATGGACGAGGGAAGGGGGTGATGGACGGGGAGGGGGGGGGTGATGGACAGAGGAAGGGGAGATGGACTGGGGGGGGGGGGGGGGGTTGGGGATGGATGGGGGAAGGGGGGGTGATGGATGGGGGAAGGGGGTGATGGACGAGGGGGGGGGGGGTGGCCATGACTTACCAAGGCGTGAATGATTTCATGCTTGACTGTAGACAACATGCCAGCGAACTCCTGCGGCTGGGTGGACATCATGCTGGGACACAGGTTGGCATATCCCGCGATCGGTCTGACAGGAAATACACAGAGAGATGCTGAGTGACACCAACACATGATTAGTGGAGACATTGGTAGAGGATCCCTCTGGGGTGTGCAGGGCGGGGGAGGGGACATGGAGATGAATGGCTCAGTGGAAGACAAAGTTTTGGTGAAGGAGATTAGGACTATTGCAATGTCACCTATACTGCCGTTCCATGGACTGACCTCAGTGTCGTCTGTGGACGGTCCATGTGACCTCAGTGTGATCTGTATGGACGGTCCACGGACTGACCTCAGTGTCGTCTGTATGGACGGTCCATGGACTGACCTCAGTGTCACCGTCTGGACGGTCCATGGACTGACCTCAGTGTGATCTGTATGGACGGTCCACTGACCTCAGTGTCGTCTGTATGGACGGTCCATGGACTGACCTCAGTGTCGTCTGTATGGACGGTCCACGGACTGACCTCAGTGTCTCTGTATGGACGGTCCACGGACTGACCTCAGTGTCACTCTGTATGGACGGTCCATGGACTGACCTCAGTGTGTCGTCTGTATGGACGGTCCACGGACTGACCTCAGTGTCGTCTGTATGGACGGTCCACGGGACTGACCTCAGTGTCGTCTGTATGGACGGTCCACGGACTGACCTCAGTGTCGTCTGTATGGACGGTCCACGGACTGACCTCAGTGTCGTCTGTACGGACGGTCCACGGACTGACCTCAGTGTCGTCTGTACGGACAGTCCACGGACTGACCTCAGTGTCGTCTGTACGGACAGTCCACGGACTGACCTCAGTGTCGTCTGTATGGACAGTCCACGGACTGACCTCAGTGTCGTCTGTATGGACAGTCCATGGACTGACCTCAGTGTCGTCTGTATGGACAGTCCATGGACTGACCTCAGTGTCGTCTGTATGGACGGTCCATGGACTGACCTCAGTATGTACTGCCGTTCCTGTATGGACACTGCCGTTCCATGGACTGACCTCAGTGTCGTCTGTATGGACAGTCCATGGACTGACCTCAGTGTCGTCTGTATGGACAGTCCATGGACTGACCTCAGTGTCGTCTGTATGGACGGTCCATGGACTGACCTCAGTGTGATCTGTATGGATGGTCCATAGACTGACCTCAGTGTCGTCTGTATGGACGGTCCATGGACTGACCTCAGTGTGTCGTCATGACGGTCCATGGACTGATGGACAGTCCATGGACTGACCTCAGTGTCGTCTGTATGGACGGTCCATGGACTGACCTCAGTGTCGTCTGTATGGACGGTCCATGGACTGACCTCAGTGTCGTCTGTATGGACGGTCCATGGACTGACCTCAGTGTGATCTGTATGGATGGTCCATAGACTGACCTCAATGTCGTCTGTATGGATGGTCCATGGACTGACCTCAGTGTGATCTGTATGGATGGTCCATAGACTGACCTCAGTGTCCTCTGTATGGACGGTCCTGCGGTTCTCCTACCTGTCCATTTCGGCTTCCAGTTGGCAATACGCTGCGTAAGCGACAATATTTTCCTGGCTGCACCTCTCTGTGGTGATGGCACTGACATAAAGGACAAAGTCGGTGTTTCTGATGCCTCCACTGTCCGGGGGCCCGGAGGGGCCACAATACTGCTCTGTGTTATTGCACAGCATACATTGCTAGAGGGAAGACAGCAGAGAGATCGCAGTGAGTGACACCAAAGCTGCACACCGCCCTCCAGCTGCATGATGGGAAGGAGATCTCACTGGAGATGAACTATTATGGAGAGAAGATGAAGTGTCAAAATGGGGACCCGCCCCCCCTTGCTCCCTCTGCTCCAATCCTTGTAGCCCCCGGTACTGCGGGGTATGGAGGAGCATGTGACCTCTTCCCAGAATGCGGTGTTGGGGCCACAACTCCGGAAAGTCTGGAAGCGACTATAATATAAAGACTGACCTGACCAGACATCCAGATAATGGAACAGACCGGGCAGAGAAGAGACATTCACCTGAAGGTGGTCCTCTGGGACGATGACCGGGCCGCACCTTGTGTGCTGAGCGCAGGCGCCATGACAGTATCGGTGAGGATCCGACTTCTTCTTCAAGTATTGATTGTTTGCACATTGCCTGCAGTCAGCCGGGAGAGAAAACAAAACATCAGCAGAGAAGACGGAAGCGGCAGGTAATCCTGATCATAGGCTACAAAGCAGAAAAGGGAGGTACTCCCACTCAGAACCTGATCCCGCCCCCTTTCTGAACCCTAATCTATCTACCCTGTGAAAGGGAGATGTGTGTACTTACCTATTCTGAGGGAGGTCCGGTCACATGTTTCAGTGCAGAGGAGGGACACCTGACCATGGACGCCCCATAGTCAGCCTATGGGTGATGTCACCGCGTGGGCTCTGCAGCCGTCGTCGGTGATCTCTCCTCTTTCCTGAAGCCGGATCATGTGACGGGACCAGAGCGCCCTCGGAACAGGTAAGTATAGGCGCCTTTCCTGTATAGGTTACATAGAAGAGCGTTTAGAGGGGCGGGAGCAGGTTAGTTAGGAACAGGCTGGAGTTCTACTTAAAATTGCAAACTGAGGCTGTCAGAGGAATTAAACGGCAGCGAATGTGTCGGCTCCCAAAACGTCAGCAGATGTGTCGGCTCCCAAAATGGCAGCGGATGTGTCGGCTCACAAAACGGCAGCGGATGTGTCGGCTCCCAAAACGTCAGCGGATGTGTCGGCTCCCAAAATGGCAGCGGATGTGTCGGCTCCACAAAACGGCAGCGAATGTGTCGGCTCCCAAAACGGCAGCGGATGTGGTGGATCTGCCGGCTCCCAAACGGCAGCGGATCCGCCGGCTCCCAAACGGCAGTGGATGTGTGGATCTATTGGCTCCCAAAACGGCAGCCCATCCGTCGGCTCCCAAACACGGCAGCCGATCCGTCGACTCCCAAATGGCAGCCGCTCGGCTCCAAAAACGGCAGCCGATCCGTCGGCTCCCAAATGCAGACGATCCGTCGGCTCCCAAACGCCGGCCGATCCGTCGGCTCCCAAACGCCGGCCGATCCGTCGGCTCCCAAACGCCGGCCGATCCGTCGGCTCCCAAACGGCAGGTGATCCGTCGGCTCCCAAACGGCAGACGATCCGTCGGCTCCCAAACGGCAGACGATCCGTCGGCTCCCAAAAGGTGATCCGTCGGCTCCCAAACGGCAGACGATCCGTCGGCTCCCAAACGGCAGACGATCCGTCGGCTCCCAAACGGCAGACGATCCGTCGGCTCCCAAACGGCAGACGATCCGTCGGCTCCCAAACGCCGGCCGATCCGTCGGCTCCCAAACGGCAGGTGATCCGTCGGCTCCCAAACGGCAGACGATCCGTCGGCTCCCAAACGCCAGACGATCCGTCGGCTCCCAAACGGCAGAATCCGTCGGCTCCCAAACGGCAGACGATCCGTCGGCTCCCAAACGGCAGACGATCCGTCGGCTCCCAAACGCCTGCCGATCCGTCGGCTCCCAAACGCCAGCCGATCCGTCGGCTCCCAAACGCCTGCCGATCCGTCGGCTCCCAAACGCCAGCCGATCCGTCGGCTCCCAAATGGCAGCCGATCCGTCGGCTCCCAAACCTTCCTGTCTTGTCTCAATCTCCGGACATTCTGGAAGAAGGCCTCAGCTCCGTGATAGCGTCGACACTTGCTTACTGCCTCCTGCCTATTCCCGTCTGGCTGGTGAGGTCGGCCCTCATACTGATGGTCTAAGGCAGGGGTAGGCAACCTGAGAGCCGCAGGACTACAAGTTCCATCATGCCTCTGCAAGTCATAGCTGTAACTGTCAGTTTTGTAATCTTTGCAATGCCTCATGGGAAATGTAGTTCCACAACAGCTAGAGAGGCGCAGGTTGCCGACCCTGGTCTAGGGGAACGAGGGTTTAACGGCAAGCACGGGTATTGTCAGAATGGCCGCTCATTCCGGTATGTGAACCCCAGAGAGGCTTGCACTTCATACCCACACAGCACGGTCGGGCCCTTGACCTCCAGTACGGCACTAACACACTACAGTCAAGAACACACCAACTGCCTGCTGATTGGACAGTAATGAAGCAGAACCACACTGATAAGGGTATTCCTCTGACCTCTCCACCTATCAGCAAGTTCCTTCCTCATATGTGCATTGCAGAAGAGCTCGATTGGCCACCCCTCTCCCAGTCTGAGTGCTGCTGTACAGAGGATGCTGGTGTGTGCATACTGGCATTCATTATTATATTTGGCTTTGATTCCACGATTGACACAATCAATGTTCCCCCGGGGGGGGTGACGGGTGTGATGAAGAATGGAGGACACGTTACCCAGCAGTGTGCTGCTACTCCATACTGGTGAAATCACATAGAAATGGCGGCAGGTAGGAGGACTGGCAGATGTCTCACTGCCTTCTGTTGGTATATCTATAGGAGATTGTACAGTGTGTGGCGAGCGGCGGACTCTCAGTCTATGGAGTACAATCACCGTCACTAATATTCCGGAGGGTAGGACTGGGATGGACTTACCTGCTCAGCAGGATGGAGCTGCTGGGTCTCCGCACTTGGAATGTCTTCTGTAGGTAGGAAATGGCTTGTGGGAAGAGCTTGCTCTGTGGACAGAGAAGGTGACATGAGAGATCCGTCCTCCTCATCTCAGAGCCGGAACCCCGAATCCCAAACAGCTTCATATACAGGGAGCACCTAATGCCCATCACAGGACTGGACCCCAAATTCCCCCGGCTTCATATGAAGAGTGTTTGATGACCTCCCATTGGGGGGTATAGAGGTATGGGGGGTATAGAGGTATGGGGGGTATAAAGTACGGGGGTATGGAGGTACGAAAGGTATAGGGTACGGGGGCTATAGAGGTCCAGGGGGTATAGAGGTATGGGGGGGGTATGGAGGTATGGGGGAGTATAGGGGTATATAGAGGTATGGGGGTATAGAGGTACGGGGGTATAGGGGTATGGGGGGGTATGTAGGTATGGGGGGTATATAGAGGTACGGGGGTATGGGGGTATGGAGGTATAGCGGGAATAGAGGTACGGGGGTATAGGGGTACGGGGGCTATGTACAGGTCCAGTACGGAGGTATAGAGGTACGGGGGGTATGGAGGTACAGGGAGATATGGAGGTACGGGAGGTATAGAGGTACGGGAGGTATGGGGGGGTATAGAGGTATGAGGGGTATAGAGGTATGGGGGGGTATGGAGGTATGGAGCTATGGAGGCGGGTATATAGAGGTATGGGGGGTATAGCGGGTATATAGAGGTACAGGGGGTATAGAGGTACGAGGGGGGAGGTATGGGGGGGGGTATGGAGTTATGGGGGGGTATAGAGGTACGGGAGGTATGGAGGTACGGGGGGTATAGAGGTACGAGGGGTATAGAGGTATGGGGGGGTATGGAGTTATGGGGGGGGGTATAGGGGTACGGCGGGGGGTATATAGAGGTACGGGGGGTATGGAGGTACGGGGGGGGGTATAGCGAGGTACAGGGGGTATAGAGGTACGGGGGGTATAGGGGTACGGGGGGTATAGGGGGAAGGGTGGATAGACAGCCAGCAGAGTCCTGGCATTAGTAATATATAATAAGTTCAGCGCTACACATACACCAACATAATGTAAAGAACATATAAAAAATATAATAATAATACCAATAGTCACAATATAAATCCTGACAAAGTCACGTGACGGTGACGCAACGCATAGATACGCGGTGACGCAGCATCCGGTTTGCGTGACGTACTTCGGTACAGCCGCCATCTTACAACACCCCGAGTGTAACCAGAAAACCCATACAGTACACCCGTACATCCCTATGGAACTGTGGATTGTGACTGCGGCATGTGAGTTGACATCTGATTTATTTAATAAAAGCAGCTATTTTGTGGCATATTACACTATGAGAGATTCTTCCTGTGTTTATGTCACCCGGATGAGAGGTATATCCTGCCGAGATCAGGAGCCGGTGTATCCTGAATACTTACCTACCGGATGAGAGGTATATCCTGCCGAGACAGGACTTCCGGTGTATCCTGAATACTTACCTACCGGATGAGAGGTATGTCCTGCCGAGACCAGGAGCCGGTGTATCCTGAATACTTACCTACCGGATGAGAGGTATATCCTGCCGAGACCAGGAGCCGGCGTATCCTGAATATTTACCTACCGGATGAGAGGTATATCCTGCGATTACACAGGAGCCGGTGTTCCTGAATGTTTACCTACCGGATGAGAGGTATATCCTGCTGCCGAGATCAGGAGCCGGTGTATCCTGAATACTTACCTACGGATGAGAGGTATATCCTGCTGAGATCAGGAGCCGGTGTATCCTGAATACTTACCTACCGGATGAGAGGTATATCCTGCTGAGACCAGGAGCCGGTGTATCCTGAATACTTACCTACCGGATGAGAGGTATATCCTGCCGAGATCAGGAGCCGGTGTATCCTGAATACTTACCTACCGGGATGAGAGGTCCATGGGAGACTTGCTGGTGATATCTGCCAATGTTGGATCAAGATCCTGAGCGATCTTAAAGGCATACAGGCCCATTGGGCCGCAAAGGGGAGGTGGGGGCAATTTAGCCGCAGGAGGAGAGTCGCTCCCCATCACTTGCATTGCATTGTACCGCTTGGAGCTGAGCTCCACCATAGAGCGTCATGAACTTTATTCACGTATGATACTTATCGAATACTCACTCTTCACATCAGTGGGTGGGACAGGGGCCACGTCCAGTATACGGAGATCTATTCTGTAATATGATCACATGATTTGGTCACCTTATTGCACTAATAGACATTTATTTTGTGACTATTGGAATTATTATTATATATTTTTATGTTCTTTACATTATGTTGGTATATGTGTAGCTCTGCACTTATTATATATTACTGATCTTTTGCTGTTTGGTACCAGTTTGAGTGCTGGCGGCTTGGATATTTTAGGGACTCCATTGAGCGCAGGAGGATTATATATTTATAGAGTCCTGGCATTGCACCCCCAGGCAGGGTTCTAGTTTGCTCCGCTCGGCATCTACATGGGAAGGAGTGAATGTGACGAACTTCTGATTCCTCTATAATGAGGACAGATCTGTGGTGTATGGGGGGGTCACATCCCGATTCCACTGCCTCTGCCCCCCCCCACATTGTGTAATAGGTGTATTCTTCATCTGCCGATACATCACATCTCACCTTCACAAGTCTCCTCTTCACCACCACCAGACTGCAAATACAAAGAGGACAACCATCAGAGGACATGACATCACACCTGACATATATATATACTGTCCATATACCTGAGAGAGGAGTGCGGTCACCTACCGCCATCTACCTGTACAGAGACCACAGACCCCCACTGACTCCCTCATAGTGTGTGACTGTGGGGGAGGGGACATTAGGGTGTAAGCTCCTCTGGAATAGAGACTGATGGGACTGTGGGGGAAGGGACATTAGAGCGTAAGCTCCTCTGGTACAGAGACTGATGGGACTGTGGGGGAGGGGACATTACACTGTAAGCCACGCCCCCAGAGACTGACAGATAGCAGCTACGGGGACCTGACATTCCTCCACGCCTTTGTCCAGGCTCCTGGCTGCCACCTGTCCTTCTCAAGACCCCAAATCTTCCCAACCTCACCCAGAATGTTGTTCACCACCACCTCAACAGGAAGGACCTGACACCGTGCATTCCACGTGTAGTAACGGACTACTAAGCTAACTAGAAAAAGTGTCTCAAAATCAAAGTCCCGGTGAGTCTGAAAGGCTCCGTAAGACCACTCCGCATAACTCAAGCGGGAAAGGAAAGGGATCCCCAGAGCCCCACCCACCCGCTTGTAGACATCTATATTGAAGGGGCACTGAAGCAAGAAATGATCCATCGTCTCCTCCACCCCACCGCACTCCACTCTTGGACAACCACGGTTCTCCGCAGAGCGATGCTTCAGGTTGCCCTTCACATAGAGTCTGCCATGGAACGAGAGCCAGGCCAAATCCCAAAACTTTAAAGGGATTCTCTCCAGATTCATCAAACGCAGACCCTCCCTCATAACCGGGTCTGGGCAATCCCTCAAGGCCAATCCCTCAAGGCAATGGCTCGCTAAAGGCAGATTCAACAACCCTCCTCTCAAGGGCCTTCCTAGGAAGAGACTTAATTTCCTCCGCCGTCACTCGCCATTGCCGAAGCATTTTCAGACATGGGGCAACATAAGCCGGGAGCTTACCATGTTGGACCCTCAGGCTTTTCACTGGCCCACCATTCTCCCCAGCTCCATAGAAAAGGCCTAAACCAGGACTGAAAAAATACCAACCCACCCAGGCGGTTCCTCTGCCAGCATGCTACCAAAATTATGTTTCAAAAACATCAGAGAAAAGAAAACCACCGGGTTGACCATACCTAGGCCACCCATCCGCCTGGGAAGGTAGGTTACAGACCTCTTAATGAGGTTCAGTTTTTGCCCCCATAAGAGCTGGAAGAAACAACTGTAGATCTCTCGCATAGAGAGACACTGGAACACAGACAAAGCTGACATACAGAAATACCGGGATCAGGTAAGTTTTAATCAGGTCAATCCTTTCCCTGTAAGAGAGTTTCCAATCCTTCCAGCTGGCCACCTTGGCATCGGCATCTTGTAGCCTGCTTACCCAATGTGCAAGGCCGTAGTCACCGGGACCAAATTTGATGCCTAAAACTTTAATTTCCTGCTGGGGCTCTGGGAAGGCGTCCGGAAGGGTAAAGCCTTCGCCTTCCTCTCCCATCCAGAAAACCTCACTCTTATCCTGATTGATCTTTGAGCCAGATGCCTCAGCATACTGTTCCATCACCGAGACCACCTCCTCCGCCTTCTGCCTCAGCGTACTGTTCCATCACCGAGACCACCTCCCGCCTCCTGCCTCAGCATACTGTTCCATCACCGAGACCACCTCCTCCGCCTCCTGCCTCAGCATACTGTTCCATCACCGAGACCACCTCCTCCGCCTCCTGCCTCAGCATACTGTTCCATCACCGAGACCACCTCCTCCGCCTCCTGCCTCAGCATACTGTTCCATCACCGAGACCACCTCCTCGTCTCCTGCCTCAGCATACTGTTCCATCACCGAGACCACCTCCTCCGCCTCCTGCCTACTGCCTCAGCGTACTGTTCCATCACCGAGACCACCTCCTCCGCCTCCTGCCTCAGCATACTGTTCCATCACCGAGACCACCTCCTCCGCCTCCTGCCTCAGCATACTGTTCCATCACCGAGACCACCTCCTCCGCCTCAGCATACTGTTCCATCACCGAGAGACCACCTCCCTCCGCCTCCTGCCTCAGCATACTGTTCCATCACCGAGACCACCTCCTCCGCCTCCTGCCTCAGCATACTGTTCCATCACCGAGACCACCTCCTCCGCCTCCTGCCTCAGCATACTGTTCCATCACCGAGACCACCTCCTCCGCCTCCTGCCTCAGCATACTGTTCCATCACCCAGACCACCTCCTCCGCCTCCTGCCTCAGCATACCGTTCCATCACCCAGACCACCTCCTCCGCCTCCTGCCTCAGCATACTGTTCCATCACCCAGACCACCTCCTCCTCCTCCTGCCTCAGCATACTGTTCCATCACCGAGACCACCTCCTCCGCCTCCTGCCTCAGCATACTGTTCCATCACCGAGACCACCTCCTCCGCCTCCTGCCTCAGCATACTGTTCCATCACCGAGACCACCTCCTCCGCCTCCTGCCTCAGCATACTGTTCCATCACCGAGACCACCTCCTCCGCCTCCTGCCTCAGCATACTGTTCCATCACCGAGAGACCACCTCCTCCGCCTCCTGCCTCAGCATACTGTTCCATCACCGAGACCACCTCCTCCGCCTCCTGCCTCAGCATACTGTTCCATCACCGAGACCACCTCCTCCGCCTCCTGCCTCAGCATACCGTTCCATCACCGAGACCACCTCCCCCACCTCCTGCCTCAGCATACCGTTCCATCCATCACCGAGACCACCTCCTCCGCCTCCCGCCTCAGCATACTGTTCCATCACCGAGACCATCTCCTCCACCTCTTGAGTCCCGGAGATGTAAACAGACACGTCATCATCAGCATAGGCCACGACCCTCAGAGGGGGCTCTCCAGGAATGCCCAAAGGAACTCCACACAACGGTCCGCTCTCTAACCTCCGAATGAAGGGATCGATTACAAACGCATATAGCAGAGGACTCAAAGGACACCCCTGACGCACACCTGAGCCAACCTCAAAGGGTCGTCCAATCCAACCATTCACAAGCATGAAGCTTTCAGCCCCTCTGTATAAGGTCTTTAGCCAATCAATAAAGCCCCCCTCCAGGCCATACTTGCCAAGAAGCAGCCATAGGTACTCATGATTGACTCGATCAAAAGCTTTGGCCTGATCCAATGCCAGCAGGAACTTTTTCCCCCAGCCTGCAGCCCTGCACCGCTCCAGGGCCTCCCGGACAGCTAACACCGCTGAAAAAGTGCTTCTTCCCTGAACCGAACAGTGCTGATGGTGAGAAAGTAAATTGCCTGCAAAAAGAGGATAAACGCCAGAAAATGATCTTTGCCAGTATCTTCCTATCAACATTGAGAAGGCTAATGGGCCGCCAATTCTCAATTCTGGAAGAATCCTTACCCTTTGACAGAAGAATCACTGCAGATTGTCGCATGGAGGGAGAGAGCGAACCCTCTCTCAGACAGCCATTAAACACCTCCACCAAATATGGGGCCAGAGTCACCTTGAAGTGCTTATAAAACTCGGCTGTCAATCCGTCTGGCCCAGGCGACTTCTTCATGGCAAGCTGATCAATAGCTTTCACCACCTCATCTGCCGTGATGTCCTCTGTGTCAAACTCACAAGAGAACTGCCATTTCCCCGAGTCCCCTCACAGGGAGCCATTTCCCAGAGTCCAGAAAACCCAACATGCTCGCCCGATCGAGGTCCCTCCCCTACCCAGGACTCACAGAGAACTGCCATTTCCCAGTCCTGGAGTAGATCCAGAAAACCCAACATGCTCGCCCGGAGGTCCCTCCTACCCAGGAGGTCAGCATAATATGACCTGGAGGTTTCCTGGATTGGACTTGGACTTTGTCAGGGAACCCGTACTGTCAACCAGGCCTACAACTGACTTAACTGCTCTACCTTGTTTGCAGTTCTGGTAAGGGTCGGGCGAGTGATATTTCCCATAATCCCTCTCCAGAACCAAAGAGGCATGCCTGTCATATTGACACTGCCTGAGCAAGAGTTTAACCTCAGAGATCGCTTCTGGATCTCCATTATTCGAGACAAGCCGATCGAGCTTCCTCCGCAGACGCTGGTAGGTGACATACTTATCAAGCTGTTTATTCCTTCCTATGGCCTTGAAAAACCCAACGAACGATCCTTCGTTTTTGTAAGCTCCCACCACTCGGACTTACTGCTGCAAACGTCCATGATTGATACCTGTGCCTGAAAAAAATCCTCAAAGGATTGACTCACCTTCTCATCGTCCAGGAGTGCCGAATTCAGCTTCCAGGTACCCCTCCCCTTAGGTGGTGTATCGGGGCCACTCAGAGTCACAGACAGAATACAGTGATCGGAAAACTCTACCGCCTGACACACTGGTGCCGAGAAGGCGGAGTTCCCCTTTAAAAAAAAACCTATCTATTCTACTCTGACTAGAACCTCGCTGAAAAGTGAATCCCGTGTCGTCTGGGCAGCAATGAATGTGCACATCAACCAGACCTGCCTCTCTACCCGTCACAGTCCAGCCTGACTCCGGTCCCTCTCCTGTCCTTAGTCCTAGTGATGGTGTTAAAGTCACCACCGAAGACAACTTGCTGGGCTGTAAAAAGGAAAGGCTTGATCTTCATGAAGAGGCATTTCCTGTCCCATTTCGTCTGGGGCCCATAGATGTTAATCAGGCGCAGGTCCCTCCCCCCCCCCCCCCCCCATGGAGACGTCTAAGACCATGCATCTCCCCATTTCTACCTCAATAATCCGCCGACAGGTTAGGGTTATGGTTATGCATGGCCTCAGGGCACCGGTTGTACGAATGGCCAACCTTATCACAAAGATTGCACCTGATGATGTTACAATCCTTAGCCAGATGTTCCAGATCCTGATATAGAGAGCACTTCATCTCTGGACATGAGGAGGCCAAGTGACCCCGAGAACCAGATGCCCCAGATCCTGGCACAGAGAGCACTTCATCTCTGGACATGAGGAGGCCAAGTGACCCCGAGAACCAGATGCCCCAGATCCTGGCACAGAGAGCACTTCATCTCTGGACATGAGGAGGCCAAGTGACCCCAAGAACCAGATGCCCCAGATCCTGGCACAGAGAGCACTTCATCTCTGGAGATGAGGCGGCCAGGTGCCCCCGAGAACCGCACTTATCGCAGAGCTTGGGCTGTCTAGGGTAGAACACAACAATCCCATCCTCATACAGCCTCATCCATACCGACCACTCACTAGTCCATATCCCCCTCTCATCCGCACCGACCACCCCCATCCAGTCCATATCCCCCTCTCATCCGCATACAGACCACCGACCAGTCCATATCCCCTCTCTCATCCGCACAGACCACCGACCAGTCCATATCCCTCTCTCATCCGCACAGACCACCCACCAATCCATATCCCCCTCTCATCTGCACCGACCACCCACCAGTCCATATCCCTCTCTCATCTTCACCGACCACCCACCAGTCCATATCCCTCTCTCATCCACAATCTTCTTCAGTGGTGTAAGTAGCTCCCCAAATCTCCTCAGCCTGACAGCCAAGTCAGCCGAAGGAATGGACTCATTCCTTACTAGGATGGTGACCGTCTTAACAAGAGGTTGGCGTGAGACAAGTTTCAGGACGAGTTCCCTCCACTCCGGCAGACCCTTATACATGTGTTCATACTTCTCCCAGAATATATCCAGAGACTCGGGGCGCACAAAGGACAGATCATATTCATAGGAGCCCACCGGACTAATCAAAGCGAAGATCTCATCCACCTTAAACCCCATCTCCAAAATCCTGTCCACCACCAACTTCTTGACCGGGGGAGCACCCCCACCCTCCCACCTGACAGGGGGAGTGCCCCCACCTTCCAACCTGACAGGGGGAGCACCCCCACCCTCCCACCTGACAGGGGGAGTGCCCCCACCTTCCAACCTGACAGGGGGAGCGCCCCCACCTTCCAACCTGAGCTGTACCACATTCCTCCTCCTGAAGGATAGGGGCACAGATGGCAGACCTCCCCCCAGAGCTGACAGCCTGATGTGACCCCCTCCTCCCAGCCAGAGCCCCAGCATAGGTTTTATTTGCAGCATTAGTTGTAGTGGACCTTAACGCTGCACCCCACCCATTGGTTGCAGGAACCTCAGAGCCCCCGCTCTGCAAACTACCATCAGAGGCAGCAGCAGTCACTCCATCCACCAACACACAGGCATTCCCCTTTCCAAGCACTCTTATCATTCACGTTTCCTATCACTCAGGGCACTACTGCTCCCAGCAGACCCACTCACACCAGATGCTACTGTCTCCCCCTCCCCCAACATATTCCTCTTAGGCAAAAGCCTGTGACTGGGGGAGGGGATATCAGAGTGTGGGCTCCTCTGGTACAGAGACTGATGTGACCGTGGGGGAGGGGACATTAGAGTGTAAGCTCCTCTGTACAGAGAGATGGGACCGATACAGGGACCGTGGGGGAGGGTACATTAGAGCGTAAGCTCCTCTGGTACAGAGACGATGGGACTGTGGGACATTAGAGTGTAACTGGTGCAGAGGGGAAGGGAACATTAGAGCGTAAGCTCCTCTGGTACAGAGACCGATGGGACTGTGGGGGAGGGGACATTAGAGTGTAAGCTCCTCTGTACAGAGACTGATGGGACTGTGGGGGAGGGGGGACATTAGAGCGTAAGCTCCTCTGGTACAGAGACCGATGGGACCGTGGGTGGAGGGGACATTAGAGCGTAAGCTCCTCTGGTACAGAGACCGATGGGACTGTGGGGGAGGGGACATTAGAGCGTAAGCTCCTCTGGTACAGAGACCGATGGGACTGTGGGGGAGGGGACATTAGACCGTAAGCTCCTCTGGTACAGAGACAGATGGGACTGTGGGGGAGGGGGCATTAGAGTGTAAGCTCCTGTGTACAGAGCCATGTGCAGGGACAGAAGTGGAGGGAACACTCACTGGTCTATACTGGGGTCATAGTGGATCTGCACTCGCAGTTGCTGCTCGGCGTCTCTCTTCCAGATGTGATCGCTCTTCTGCTGGACTCTGTAGATGACCTGAGAGAGGAGATGGGAGATGATGATAAAAAGCCCTCCCTGGACCCCAATGACCCGAACAACCTCAGACCCATCTCCCTGCTCCCATTTACATCCTAAAACTCCTCGAGCACCTCGTCTACACCCACCTAAGCTCTCACCTCAATGACAACAACCTCCCGATCCCCTACAGTCCGGCTCCTCGATCCCCTACAGTCCACCGAAACCGCCTTACTCAAACTCTCCAACGACCTGCTAACCGCCAAAGCTAATGGCCACTATTCAGTGCTCCTACTCCTTGACCTCTCTGCGGCCTTCCACACAGTCCACCACCCCCTCCTCCTCAAAAATCTACACTACCTCGGCCTCAGAGATTCTGCTCTCTCCTGGCTCTCATCCTACCTGTCACAACGCTCTTTCAGGGTTACCTATAATGCTACCACCTCCCCCTCACTCCCCCTCTCTGTTGGGGTCCCTCAAGGCTCTGTCCTCGGGCCCCTTCTCTTCTCCATCTACACCTCCTCCCTTGGCCAACTCATACACTCTCACGGCTTCAACTACCACCTCTATGCCGACGACACACAAATCTATCTCTCAACCCCCCACCTCACCCCCTCAGTCTCCGCCCGAATCACACACCTGCTGAGCGACATATCAGACTGGATGTCGCTCCACTTCCTTAAACTGAACCTCTCCAAGACGGAGTTTCTTGTCTTCCCCCCCCCCAGCCCGGACCCCCCCCCCATTGACTTCTCCATCATGTCCAACAACGCCACCATCAAACCCGCCCTGCAGGCCAGAGTACTTGGTGTCATTCTTGACTCCAACCTATCCTTCCAGCCCCAAGTCCAATCTTTAACAAACTCGTGCCGCCTCCACCTCCGCAACATGCAGACTCCGCCTCCGCAACATGCAGACTCCGCCTCCGCAACATGCAGACTCCGCCTCCGCAACATCGCCAAAATCCGCACGTTCCTAACCCCAGAAACCACTAAACAGCTCATCCACTCCCTCATCATATCACGACTCGACTACTGCAACTCCCTCCTCACTGGCCTGCCTCGCCACAGGCTATCCCCGCTTCAGTCCATCCTGAATACGGCTGCCAGACTCATTCACCTTTCCAACCGCTCCATCTCCGCCCCCCCTCTGCCCCTCCACTGCTCCACTCATCCCTCCCCCTGATCCCTCCACTCAGTGTCCTTCCACTGGCCCCACTCTGTCCCAATGCCAATCCCTCCACTGGCTTCCGATTGCGCAACGGATCAAATTCAAAATCCTAACACTGACGTACAAAGCTGTCCACCATACTGCCCCGAACTACATCACTGACCTAATATCCAAGTACCACCCAACACGCACACTCCGCTCCTCACAAGACCTCCTTCTCTCTAGTTCCCTGGTCTCCTCCTCCCATGCCCGCCTCCAGGACTTCTCCAAGGTGTCACCCATCCTCTGGAACTCCCTGCCCCAACCCATCAGATTATCATCTACTCTCCTCTCCTTTAGGCGCACCTTGAAAACCCATCTCTTCAGGGAAGCCTACCCCACCCCCTGCTAACTTGCCGACCTCCTTCACTCTTCCTACCACTCCATCCCCCACAGCTATCTCCTCCTGTGCCACCATCCCCTCCCTCCTAGATTGTAAGCTCCAAGGAGCAGGGCCCTCGATCCCCTCATGTTTTGCATTGTATTGGTATTGTTCTGTCACATGTGTTCTGTCCCCTCTGTAATGTACAGCGCTGAGCCAACTGTTGTCGCCATAAGTCCTGTATAATAATAATAATAATGAGTCCCACAGAGATCCCATCTGTGTCCAGGGGGAGGGGGAGGAGGATAGGGATGATGATAAAGATGATGACAATGGGGATAGTGTGGGACAGGGATGGGGGTAGGCATGATGATAGGGATGGGGGTAGGGATGATGATAGGGATGGGGGGTAGGGATGATGATAAGGATGGGGGTAGGGATGATGATGATGACAGGGATGGGGGAATGGATGATGATGACAGGGATGGGGGTAGGGATGATGATGAGGGATGATGATGACAGGGATGGGGGTAGGGATGATGATGACAGGATGGGGGTGGATGATGATGACAGGGATGGGGGATGGATGATGATGATGGGGGAATGGATGATGATGGGGTAGGGATGATGATGACAGGGATGGGGTAGGGATGATGCTGATGGGGTAGGGATGATGCTGACAGGGATGGGGGAATGGATGATGATGATGGGGTAGGGATGATGATGACAGGGATGGGGGATGGGGGATGATGGGGTAGGGATGATGATGACAGGGATGGGGGAATGGATGATGATGATGATGGGGTAGGGATGATGCTGATAGGGATGACACATCGGTGCTCGGTATGCACTGTATATACAGCCGGTAGAGGTGTATACAGGAGGTCAGTACATATCACAGTGCAGTATATACATGCAGGAGGTCACATGAGGTCAGTGTGGCCCCTCCCCCTCACCTCCTCGGGTCCCGGGGCTCGGTGCCGGCAGTTGATGGTGCTGGTCGGTGATTGGCAGGTCAGGACGAGCAGGGCCCCCACAGTGAGCAGAGCCCCCCCGGACCGAGCCGCCATCTTCATCCATCCGTCACCCTGGCAACGTGACGTCACTCCTTTGAGCCTTAGAACCTCTTCCGCACCACCTGACCTGTCACCCCGGCAACGTCTTTGGCTTCGTTTTAAGGCCCGCCCATTCGCCATATTGCCGGAGCCCGATGTCCTGAGGGAGGAGAGGGGGGAGGAGTGTTCTCTCTATTCGGACAGACGGAGAGGTACCAGCGGCCATGTACATCCCTGTGCGGGACTCCCCATCGTGTAGAGTGCAGAGGGGGAGATCCTGGAGGAGGTTTTATCTCTGTATACCCTCATTTCCGCTGCTGGGGACACCCCTGAGGAGCCCCACAAATCCACCATCACAGAGCTCATAAACTGGACCCTCCGACCCCTTCCTGACCCGTAGGTGACCCTCCGACCCTTTCCTGACCCGCAGGTGACCCTCCGACCCCTTCCTGACCTGTAGGTGACCCTCCGACCCTTTCCTGACCCGCAGGTGACCCTCCGACCTGTAGGTGACCTCTGACCCTTTCCTGACCCGTAGGTGACCCTCCGACCCTTTCCTGACCTGCAGGTGACCCTTTGACCTCTCCCTGACCCGTAGGTGACCCTCCGACCCTTTCCTGACCCGCAGGTGACCCTTTGACCTCTCCCTGACCCGCAGGTGACCCCTCCGACCGCTCCCTAAACTGCAGGTGACCCTCCAACCCATATATATATATATACACAGTATCCCCAGAAGTGAGCCCCCCCCCCCCCCTCACATTTGTGTAAATATTTGATTCTCTCTTTCCATGTGACAACACTGAAGAAATGACACTTTGCTACAATGTGACGTAGTCAGTGTACAGTTTGTATAACATGGAAATTTGCTGTCCCCTCAAAAATAACTCAACACACCGCCATTAATGTCTAAACCGCCGGCAACAGAAGTGACTCCGCCCCTAAGTGACAAGGTCCAAATTGGGCCCAAAGTGTCAATATTTTGTGTGGCCGCCATTATTTTCCAGCACTGCCTTCACCCTCTTGGGCATGGAGGTCACCAGAGCTTCACAGGTTGCCACTGGAGTCCTCTTCCCCTCCTCCATGACGTCATCACGTAGCTGGTGGATGTTAGAGAACTTGCGCTCCTCCGCCTTCCGTTTGAGGATGCCCCACAGATGCTCAATAGGGTTTCAGGTCTGGAGACATGCTTGGCCAGTCCATCACCTTCATCCTCAGCTTCTTTAGCAAGGCAGTGGTGGTCTTGGAGGTGTGTTTGGGGTCGTTATGTTGGAATACTGCCCTGCGGCCCAGTCTCCTGGGGGAGGGGATCATGTTCTGCTTCAGTATGTCACAGTACATGTTGGCATTCATGGCTCCCTCAATGAACTGTAGCCCCCCAGTGCCGGCAGCACTCATGCAGCCCCAGACCGTGACACCCCCACCACCATGCGGCCCCAGACCGTGACACCCCCACCACCATGCGGCCCCAGACCGTGACACCCCCACCACCATGCGGCCCCAGACCGTGACACCCCCACCACCATGCGGCCCCAGACCGTGACACCCCCACCACCATGCGGCCCCAGACCGTGACACCCCCACCGCCATGCGGCCCCAGACCGTGACACCCCCACCACCATGCGGCCCCAGACCGTGACAACCCCCCACCACCATGCAGCCCCAGACCGTGACACCCCCACCACCATGCGGCCCCAGACCATGACACCCCCACCACCATGCAGCCCCAGACCATGACACCCCCACCACCATGCAGCCCCAGACCATGACACCCCCACCACCATGCAGCCCCAGACCGTGACACCCCCACCACCATGCGGCCCCAGACCGTGACACCCCCACCACCATGCAGCCCCAGACCATGACACCCCCACCACCATGCAGCCCCAGACCATGACACCCCCACCACCATGCGGCCCCAGACCATGACACCCCCACCACCATGCGGCCCCAGACCATGACACCCCCACCACCATGCGGCCCCAGACCATGACACCCCCACCACCATGCGGCCCCAGACCATGACACCCCCACCACCATGCAGCCCCAGACCATGACACCCCCACCACCATGCTTGACTGTAGACAAGACTTGTCTTTGTACTCCTCACCTGGTTGCCGCCACACACGCCTGACACCATCTGAACCCAATCAGTTGATGTTGGTGTCATCAGACCCCAGGAGATGGGTTCCAGTAATCCATGTCCTCAGTCTGCTTGTCTTCAGCAAACGGTTTGCGGGATTTCTTGTCCATCATCTTTAGAAGAGGCTTCCTTCTGGGACGACAGCCATGCAGACCAATGTGATGCAGTGTGCGGCGTATGGTCTGAGCACTGACAGGCTGACCCCCCACCCCCTACACCCTCTGCAGCAATGCTGGCCCCACTGACAGGCTGACCCCCCCCCACCCCTTCACCCTCTGCAGCAATGCTGGCCCCACTGACAGGCTGACCCCCCCACCCCTTCACCCTCTGCAGCAATGCTGGCCCCACTGACAGGCTGACCCCCACCGAATAATAAAGGAATGTTCAGACAATTAATAAATCTTCCCCATTTTACTGCAGAGCGCTGCAAAGATGGCCATGACATCTGACTGCATAGTGACAGGACTCTCTGGCCCCGACTGCCATACACAGGAGCAGACATTCTATAGCTGCCATTTGGGTGCAGAGCGCAACATCACTTACAGGTCTTCAAGCAAAGGTCAGGAGTATGCAATGTACACATAGCTTACAAAGGTCAGGGGTCAGGAGTATGCAATGTACAAACAGCTTACAAAGGTCAGGGGTCAGGAGTATGCAATGTACACACAGTTTACAAAGGTCAGGGGTCAGGATTATGCAATGTACACATAGCTTACAAAGGTCAGGGGTCAGGAGTATGCAATGTACACACAGCTTACAAAGGTCAGGGGTCAGGATTATGCAATGTACACACAGTTTACAAAGGTCAGGGGTCAGGATTATGCAATGTACACACAGCTTACAAAGGTCAGGGGTCAGGAGTATGCAATGTACACATAGCTTACAAAGGTCAGGGGTCAGGAGTATGCAATGTACACACAGCTTACAAAGGTCAGGGGTCAGGAGTATGTAATGTACAAAATAGTGGAGAGGTCAGTAGTGTGTAATTTACAACACAGCTTACAGAGTGTATATAGTTCAGGGGTCAGGAGTATGTAATGTACCGCACAGCTTACAGAGTGTATATAGTTAGGGGTCAGAGTATGTATGTACCGCACAGCTTCAGAGGGTCAGGAGTATGTAATGTACACCACAGCTTACATAGTGTATAGTGCAGGGGTCAGGAGTATGTAATGTACCACACAGCTTACATAGTGTATAGTGCAGGGGTCAGGAGTATGTAATGTACCACACACCTTACATAGTGTATAGTGCAGGGGTCAGGAGTATGTAATGTACACCACAGCTTACATAGTGTATAGTGCAGGGGTCAGGAGTATGTAATGTACCACACAGCTTACATAGTGTATAGTGCAGGGGTCAGGAGTATGTAATGTACACCACAGCTTACATAGTGTATAGTGCAGGGGTCAGGAGTATGTAATGTACACCACAGCTTACATAGTGTATAGTGCAGGGGTCAGGAGTATGTAATGTACCGCACAGCTTACAGAGTGTATATAGTTCAGGGTCAGGAGTATGTAATGTACCGCACTGCTTACAGAGTGTATATAGTGCAGGGGTCAGGAGTATGTAATGTACCGCACAGCTTAGAGTGTATATAGTTCAAGGGTCAGGAGTATGTAATGTACCGCACAGCTTACAGAGTGTATATAGTTCAAGGGTCAGGAGTATGTAATGTACCATACAGCTTACAGAGTGTATATAGTGCAGGGGTCAGGAGTATGTAATGTACCACACAGCTTACAGAGTGTATATAGTTCAGGGGTCAGGAGTATGTAATGTACCACACAGCTTACAGAGTGTATATAGTGCAAGGGTCAGGAGTATGTAATGTACCGCACAGCTTACAGAGTGTATATAGTTTAAGGGTCAGGAGTATGTAATGTACCGCACAGCTTACAGAGTGTATATAGTTCTGGGGTCAGGAGTATGTAATGTACCGCACAGCTTACAGAGTTTATATAGTGCAGGGGTCAGCAGTATGTAATGTACCGCACAGCTTACAGAGTGTATATAGTGCAAGGGTCAGGAGTATGTAATGTACCGCACAGCTTACATAGTGTATATAGTTCTGGGGTCAGGAGTATGTAATGTACCGCACAGCTTACAGTGTGTATAGTGCAGGGGTCAGGAGTATGTAATGTACCGCACAGCTTACAGAGTGTATATAGTGCAGGGGTCAGGAGTATGTAATACAGCTTACAGAGTGTATATAGTTCAAGGGTAAGGAGTATGTAGTGTACCACACAGCTTACAGAGTGTATATAGTTCAGGGGTCAGGAGTATGTAGTGTACCGCACAGCTTACAGAGTGTATATAGTTCTGGGGTCAGGAGTATGTAATGTACCGCACAGCTTACATATTGTATAGTGCAGGGGTCAGGAGTATGTAATGTACCACACAGCTTACATAATGTATAGTGCAGGGGTCAGGAGTATGTAATGTACCGCACACAGCTTTTAATGTATAGTGCAGGGGTCAGGAGTATGTAATGTACCGCACAGCTTACATAGTGTATAGTGCAGGGGTCAGGAGTATGTAATATACCGCACAGCTTACATAGTGTATAGTGCAGGGGTCAACAGTATGTAATGTACCACACAGCTTACATAATGTATAGTGCAGGGGTCAGGAGTATGTAATGTACACCACAGCTTACATAATGTATAGTTCAGGGGTCAGGAGTATGTAATGTACACCACAGCTTACATAATGTATAGTGCAGGGGTCAGGAGTATGTAATGTACACCACAGCTTACATAATGTATAGTTCAGGGGTCAGGAGTATGTAATGTACACCACAGCTTACATAATGTATAGTGCAGAGGTCAGCAGTATGTGACACAGAGCCCTTACATTACTGAGTAGCGGTAGAGGAAATTCCCGGGTGTCAGTGTTGGAGGA